GGAAAAAATTCCTTGCCAACCGTGTCTAATGAAGAGATGACCACTGATCCAGTGGGTAAATGTGAAAGTATGATCTCGGACTCGAAGCTGAGCGCACCAACATTGTTATGTAAATACCGATGTAACCGACGTGCTACCTATCGTCCTTTTCATCCTTACCCCCTACAATATGCGTGGAATGAATCCCAGACATTGGAACAGACAATGGTCCATTTGCCCAGTCAACAATGCGCCCCGCATGCGAACCGCCACCTTCATTCCTAATGAACCACCGTGGCTGACAAGACATCAATGCTGTCTGTAGCTAGGAGTACCTCTCCCAAAGGAAAAGTGAAACTGTACGAGAGAACCAGACGACAATGGGAAGGTTGGCATCGCGAAAGGTGGATAAATACATGAATACATCTCCCCAACAGATCCCGTGACCCCACATAGCCCTACAGCGAGAAAACAATCCCACTCCCCACCAAGTGAGCCAGACCGTCTTGATCCGCAATAAACAACAACTCTGTCCAGAATCACGCCGTTTCCATCTCCTCCTCAGTCCGCCGGCGGATCATCAACTGCTCCTGCGGCCCTCGCAGCGTCAACTCGGTAAACAGTCCCGCCGTGGTAGGCGGCGGCGGGATGACCTTGATCTCATACTTGGTGAAGATGTGGGCGAACAGCAGTTTCAGCTCATCGGTGACGAAGAAGCGGCCGGGACAGGCTCGCTTGCCCATGCCGAAGGAAAGAAAGCGCTCCGAGGCGCGGGACATGGGCACGCGCGGCGCCGCGGCGTGCTCGACCTCGTAACGCGCGGGATTGTAGGTGGTGGCCTCGGGCCACAGGCTGTCGTCGCGGTGGATGGCGTAGGCAGCGACACTGATGCGCGCCCCGTGCGGCAGACGCAGGCCCCCGGTCTCCTTGTCGGCGGCCAGCGTCGCCCCCGTAGGGCTGGTGACCTGCCGGATGAGCCCCGGGAACACGACGGCCAGCCGCAAACTCTCCTTGAGCGCGTTCTCGATGCACCCCAGCTTGTCGATGTCTTTCTTCTCCGGCCGCTGCTGGCACTCGCGCAGCACCGTCCGCGCCTCCGCCGTCACCAGCCTCCGGTACCCCTGCGCCTCGCCCAGCGTCGTCAGGTCCGCCAGGCACTTGCTCATCGTGTTGGTCGTCGTCTCGATCGACGCTAGGTTCGCCATGCCCACGCGCGCAATCACCCGCTGCTCCATCTCCGCCATGGGTTCGCCGCGTCGTATGGCACGTTGAACGATCCACGTCAGGAACTCGCTCGGGAGCTCGTCCGCCGAAGACGCTGCCTCGGGCTGCTCTTCCATCCGTTTCACGTCGCGAATCCGCTGTTGCACGACAGGCAGCAGGTGTCGGTTAAAGCCGGCCATGTAGAAACGATTGATCCACTTGACAAGCTTGGAGACCGGGCCCTTGAGCGGCCGGGGCAGCAGATCCTGGAATACGGTCTCGGGCATGACCGCCAGCCCTAACCCGACGGCGTCACGGATGTACTGCTCGTTGCGACCTGCATGCCTCCCCATCTTCCAATTAGCGCGCGCGACTCTTATCTGCCATGGAGGGAGGAAAGAGGAAATAAAGGAACGGGAACCGTACAAAGTTCCTTGCCCACGAACAACCGGTTGGTGATGCGCGCAATGATGGTGCGCGTACTGTCCTTGAGAGGGATTGTGCGCCACTCAGGCGAATCCCCCCATACGGCCTGCAGCGCGTCCACAATTTCGTCGTTAATGTCAGCCGTCAGGCGCCCCAGGTTGTGCGTCAATTCCTTGCGCAGCACCTCCTGCACCGAGTGGTCGCCGACCAGCCCGTCCTGCACAAAGGCGTGGAATTCGTCGTGGATCGGATCCATGCTCAACACAGATTCCGGCTGGTCGATGATCCACCGAATGTATTTGGGCGGCAGGATGATCTGGGGTCGACCGAAGGCGATGGCGAGGGCGGCGGCCCGGCCTTTTTTGTTGCACTGGTAGGGAAAGGGGGGGTCAGTGGCTTGTGCGGGTATGCAGGGTAGAAGGGGGGAGGGGGGAAAGAAACGTACCTCGAGATAGGCCTGCATGACGTTCTGCTTCATCACGAAGAATGATCGTGCTTTTGCGCGCAGGTACCCAAAGCGCTCTGGCGGTCGGTCGATCCATTGCACTTCCTTGGGAACGATGTACTCCCACGTAGTCAGCCTGTTGGTAAAGACGAGCAGTAGCAGGACGACAATCACCGCCAGAGTGCCCTTTAGAAGGAGCGGGAGGTTTAAGAGGACTTCGGTCATGCTGCAGACCTGAGAAAATGCACCAGAAAAAGAAGTTCGGAGGTGGAAGGGGGCTTCGAGGAAAAGAGGGTGCACCGGATGGACGCTGGCGTGTATATATTGGTTCCCCGTGGCATCAACGCTAAGAATCATCGGCCCAGTAGAGAGTCATCGTCGTTATCGAGGTCAGCCCACATACTGAATGATAATCAAAAAGCAGGCCATGCAGGTGGGTCCATGGCGGTCTTAAGAATTGTGTCTGAGTTTATGTGGTGCCCGCCATGCAGCGGCCACGGCGGATTTATACTGATACAAGGCTATGTATATCCCAGGTAAGTGAGACGGACAGATACATAATCGGTTCCGAAAAGTTGATCCCCAAGGGGGTAAATATACTACGCGAGTACATAAAGTACAAAACTATCAAGAAAACCTCAACCAGGAAAACCAATAAACCACCAGAGCAATTGCGTCCCCCTCACGCCACAGCCACCGGACCCTCGCGCTGCGGCGCCTGGCGAATGGAGATCATGTCGTGCTCGCCCTCCGGCCGGACATGGCTAAGTGGGCGCGCAAAGGCATCGAATTTGCGACAATGGTAGTTCTCGTAGCGCCAGACGGTCCCGTCGTCGGTGGTGATACGGGCCTGCTCGTTTGGACGCACAAAGTACGCCAGGGTGTACTTGATTGCCTGGGCGTCGGTGTCGCTGGGCACGACGCGGTGCAGAGAGGGGATGATACGACCCCGCGAGAGGAACTTCAGGCAGTCGCCGAACTGGACGAAGAGCTGCGCTGGGTTCGGATCCACGAACTCCCAGTCCTGCCGCGCGATGTCTATAACCTGTAGACCCCGTGCGGTGGCCGACAGGAGCGTGAGGCTGCCCACGTCCGTGTGCGCGATGTGTCCGAAGTTGCGCGACCCGGGCGGCTGCGGCGGATACTTTAGGAAGCCCAGGTTTGTGACAGAGGGCTCCGAGGGCTGATGGGTTGCTAGTAGGGCGTCTCCCAGATTGAGCACTTCGCTGACGCGTCGCAGGATGAGCTGCGCCGCTTGCTCGTAGTGCTCCATGCAGCGCGTGAGGGCCTCGCGGTGGGCAAAGACTAGGTCGGGGGATTGGAGTGCTGGACGGAAGCTGGGCAGGAGAAGCTCATTTTGGGGCAACTGGAGGATGGAGGAGATAGAATATGGGTTAGTCTCGTAAGTGTCGTTTGCGGTGGAAGTAACGGGGAAAGTAGGACACAGCGCCCAGAGAAATGTACCATGAACATTTCGAATCCGTCGGGCTCTCCGGCCTTTGCGCCTTCTTCAATGCCCAAGGGCTTATATCTGGAGGGCCCCAGGGGCTGCTGGTCAGTGGATTGCCATTCGAGTCGAGCTGCGGATGAGAGCCCGTGGAAGTGGGCATCGTTCTGCTTACCCCGTGGTCCGAAACCGCCCCAGTGTCTTGAAATCAAAGCGCTCCTTGACGGGGGTGGGAATTTCGAAGACGTCCTCAGAGAATGTCTCAAGAAAGCGAATGTCCTCACGCAGGCTGACGCCCTCTGGGCAGTCGAGATCCAAGCTGAAGAAGCCATCTACCAGAGCCGCTTGTGTTAGCGACTGGAGGTCTGGCTCGGCACCTGTGATCAGTCCGTGGTAGGATACCTGGGGCATGATGAAGATGAAAAGGTATGTTAGAGATCAGATAGAGGGTAGGAGTTGGGGGTAGTCTGTGCCAGAGCACCAGGGCTGCAGAGGGTAGGGGCCTGCTTTTATGTTTTCCCTCGGTGCTCAGCCAAAAATCAGGGCAAGGTACGTGGCCTGATCCACTGTCGTGCGAGCTGAGAGTCAGCGCGAACATGACCTAGACGGTCCAGAGCGTGTTGGGGCTACGCAGGCAGGGCGTGGGAAAGGCGTACTAAGTTAGGGCAAGGCAGAACGGACATCGGGACTCCAAGCCATTACACAAAAACCAACAACTTAGATACAACTAACGAAGACTACCATATATACAGAAGACAAAAACACATAGAACATCAACGGACATAGCTATTAGCCCACCACCGAGGCCTGGCTTCGTTGCCGCGACTGCGTCGTGAACCACCGAGCATAGCTCTTCCGGGCACTTGTCCACATCGTTCTGAGAGACAGCCGCTTTGCTTTCACCAACGGCAGACCTGACTCAACACGCTCTTCATCCTCGCGGCGTGATCCCACTAAGATTGCCTGGGCGGAGCTGGACTGGTCGCCCGGACCCAGAAGAGAGGCTAAGTAGACGGCATCCAAAAGATCGCCGCCCCTCTGTGCAAAGGAGGCTGCCGACCGGTTTTTTCCAGTGGCAACCCCCCGACGACGCTGCAGGACAACTTCCCACTCTGGCCGCTGCTTGATTTGCAAGTACGACGACATGACCAGGAGGTCTTCGCCCGATATCCGCTCCGTAATCTGCACCACCGGCGCCGACGACTTCTTCCCCTTTCTCCCGGACTGGGCTACAGGAGCCGACAACATCTCCTTAACCGTGCGGGATGGCTCGTCCACGAGGATCACGAGGGTCTCAGCGAGCATGCGCAGATACTCCGATGCCATCTCCGTCGTGATGCTGTCAGGCCGGTAAGCCATGCGCAGGTCCAGCGCGCCGTCCTCCCGGGTGACGGCCGTGACTCCCACGTCGACCGTCCACGTCGCATCCGGCGCCTCGAAGCTGGAAATGGTGTACTCCTGCCCGCGCATACGAACAATCTCGCCCGTCTGCGCGATGATGTGGTTCAGCGCGGACGTAAACCGCGTCGAGGTCGCCCAATCGGTGCAGTCGTGCAGGATATCTCGGAAGCCGAGGTGCCCGTGCTCGAAGCTCTGAATTTGCTGCTCGCGCACGGCTTGCAGCAGCTCGCGCGCTGTGAGGTCAGGAGAGGACAGCTGCACGCGGACTGGAAGCAGCGTAACGCAGCAGCCCGTTGTATTCATCTGGGAGGCGTCGACAGTTCCCCTCGTGGAGACGGTGTCGGCGAATACCACGTCCTGGCGCTGGGCCACGCGAGCCAGAGTGACCGCCCATGCTGCCTTCACCAGGACCGCGCTGGTGACGCCCGCGGATAGCGGACTGGCGAGGGGGACCGTCCGTGGGGCCAGGTGGGCCACGGTGGAGGGATATTGGCCGATAGCCGAGACGGAGCGGCCCAGTTGGGGCATAGACGAGCCCGCCAACAGGTCCGTCCAGTAGTCGTACGTTTGTGCGGTGATACGTTGCTGCTGGTGGTAGTAGAAGCTCGCGAAGGACGGAGACCGGGGCGGGATTGAGCCCTCATACAGACAGCGGAGGGTCTCCCAGATCGCATTGATGGACACGGCATCGTACTCAGCGTGCGTCACGCGCAGGAGAAGTCGGTGTCGCGTGGTGTGCGCCTCCTCGATGATGGCCATCTGCGTGAAGGGCTCGCCCAAGCAGGGGGCTGGGAACAGCTGGTGATTGACGATCTCAGCCGTCTTCGATTCAAGGGTACGCTCTGTGTGAAAAATGGGGATGTCGGGCTCATAGACACTCTTGACGACCTGTAACAGACGGCTCTGATCGAAGATGTAGGCTGTGCGGAGGATAGGCAGGGCGCGGATGAGGTCCAAGCAGCTCTTGCGCAGCCGCTCCACATCACAGGGGCCCTGCCCGTCTAGCAGGAAATGCGCACAGTTGGCCGCACCGGGGGTCGTGAGCACGCCTGCCACCGTGAGGGCTTGGAAGTCGGTGGTGGGCAGGATATCGACGACATCGTCCGCACGGCCGATGTTGCAGACAGGGGAGACCACCTCGTGGATAAATGCCTCGGGGTTATCAGTCTCAATTAGTGAGAAGGGAACCACCCCTTCCTCTTCATTCTCGTCCTTCTCCTCCTCTTTCTCTTCTTCTTTCTTCTCTTCCTCTGAATGTGCCTCTGAACGCGCGCTCACAACGTCAGCAAGCTCAGATAGACAGGGGTATTTGAAGATATCTGCCACACTCAGCTTGTACGGGCGAGAGCGCGATGTGGCCACCATGCGCATCGCGGCCAGGGAGTCTCCACCAAGATGGAAGAAGTTGTCATGAGCCCCGATCTCGTCTACGGGGAGATGAAGCCCGTCAGCCCACAGGGTCTGTAATTGGCGCTCCATCTCGGTCGAGGGGGCGACCTTGGGTCCGTCGCCCACGCGGTACTGCCGGAGATTATCATCGTCCTGCATGCGCACCAGCATCGTGCGGAGGAGCTTACGGTCCAGTTTGCCCGAGAGATTGCGACTCATTTCCAAAATGGGCACGAATACGGCCGGAACCATGTACACAGGCAGTGTCTGTGACAGGATGCCGTACAGCTTGCTGAAGGCCACTCGGAGGGCCGGGAATGGTGTCAGCACTCCCTCTGGCGTGATCGTGTCATGGCGGTATTCACTGTTCGAAGCGAGCTCCACCACGGCCACCAGGAAGATCCGCTGCGTGTCATCGTCGGTGAGCGGTTCCACGGCCACGGTACTCGCCTCAGGCAGATGGTGCAAGATTTGATGCTCGATCTCGCCGAGTTCGACACGCTGGCCTCGGATTTTGATCTGAGAGTCCATTCGCCCGAGGTGTATCAGCGTTCCGTCTTCATTCTGTTGCACAAGATCGCCAGTGCGGTAGAGTCGGCGTCCGTGGAGACCCAAGCGGCGCGTAAACTCAGGATCAACGATGAATGAGGCCTCAGTGCGGACGGGGTCGCCCAAGTAGCCTCGGGCCAGGAAGGGCCCTTCGATCCAGAGCTCGCCGGGTGCACCGAGCGGACTCAGCAGATGGGTCTGCGTGGGCTGGGTGACCCATAACCGGGTCGCCAAGGGGAAGCCGATGTTGCTAACCTCGTGGGCATTGATGTAGGGACGAGTACAGGTGCTCATAGACCCTTCTGTGGGCCCATAGGCGTTGTAGATGTCGGCGTGATCCAGCCAGAGACTGACGACATCAGCCCGGACAGGCTCGCCGGTCAGAATCAGGGTTTGCAGGGCGGGTACACGGCTGGGCGCAACTTGCTGTGCAACAGTCGAGGTCAGCATCGCTGTGTTGACCTCCATGTCAGCCATCACTTCCGTGAGCTGATTCATGCGGGCCTCCTCGGAGGGAATGCAGACCACTCCACCGAAAGCCGTCGTAGCGAAGGTATCGGTGATGACATTATCGAAGGTATAAGAAGCAAACTGCAGGAACCGCGTCGCTGGCGTCAGGCCCAACCAGCGTCCCTGTTCGTCCAGACTCGTCGACATGGTTCCGTGCTCGATGACCACGCCCTTGGGCACGCCCGTGCTGCCTGAGGTGAAGATGGCCCACGAGGCGTTCGACGGCGTCACTCCCGTCTCTGGCGGCTGCTGACACTGTGGCCAAGTATCGAAACAATCCTGATCGAGGGTGAGGAGCTGGGTGTGCGCGAGGTTGGTCAGCCCCTGCAGTCGTTCCGCCTGTGCAGGGCTGACGACAATGAGACGTGCCTGCGAGGCGTCGAGGATGGTGTCGATGCGGGCCAAAGGGTGCGATATGCCCAAGGGCATGATGGCCCCCCCCGCTTGCATGATTCCCAGCATCGCCACCGCCCCCCATTTTGATTTCTCCATGCAGACTCCCACAATGCTTTCAGGCCCTACCCCGCAAGCGACGATCTGGTGAGCCACTCGTGCGCCGGCCTCGTAGAATTCGCGGTACGTCAGGTCTCCATCCCATGCGTGAATGGCAATGGCCGTTGGCGATCGTTCCACCTGTTCACGGACCATCTCGTGGATGCATTTCTCCAGACGGGTGGGAACGTCCGTGTTCCAGTGGAGGATCTGCTGCTGATCTGCGTCGTCGACGTTGAGGATATGCGCCAGGGGCTGCGATTGCGTGCTCGGATCACACAGTCGGTGGAACAGACAGGCGAAATAGTCGATCACCCGTTTGACCTGGGTTGGAGGGATGATCTGCTTGTCGTAGTGGACATCCACGGTGAGCTCGCCTCCTCCAAGCTGACATTCGAGAGTCAGCGCGTGTGCATTGAAGGGTTCGACCGGCAGAGGGACGGTTTCCAGGCCAGGGAAGTCCAACTGTCCCTGAGAATCCTGCTCTTCAGCCAGCTGTATGACCAGTAAGCTGCCTGTGTGCAGCGTGGAGGCCAGCGCGGGCAGCAGCGCCTTGATCCCTTGCAGCCCGGTATGCTCGTGGTCAATCATGTGTGTTGCTTGCCGCTGCATTGCGTCGACATAATCAGCCACAGTGCTTGTCAGATCCACCCGTGTGCGAATCGGCACGGTTGTAATGGTTGGACCTGCGATGTCTGATATGCCCCGAACTGGGGCGTTACGGCCAGAAACCGTAGCCGCGAAGGCGATGTCCCCATGTCCCGAGTACTGGGCCACGACCAGCGCCCAGGCGGCGCGGAGAATGGTCGATATCGTCACCCGGCCGTGTCTCTGCGTCGGCGGAAGTGGGATTGACTGATGGAAATCGTCCTGTGGCAGTGGTTGCTTGTCCGAGACTCGGCGTGGCCAGCTGGCCATCACGTCGCCCTCCAGCTGCTCGCGCCAGTAGTGCGTGCTCGCCACGGGGTCGGGACGACCGTGTTGAAGATATCGGATGAACTGCGTGTAGGGGACGGAGAGGGCAGACTGGCCTTGGCGATAGATGTCTAGGAGGCGTTTGCTGAGTGCACCCACGGTCCAACCATCATACAAGGCATGGTGCGCGGTCCAAATGAAGTAGCATGCCCCCGTGGGTTCCTCGACCAAGCCATAGCGCACCAGCGGCTGGCCCAGAGACATGCCTTGGGCGCGGTCAGCCTGCAGGTACTGTTCGAGATCTGTGCCTGTTTGCCAGTGGATGTTGTCGCGAACCACCACCTGCACGGCAGGGGATTCACCGTCCACCAGAATTCGCGTGCGCAGGATGCTGACCTCGCCGGACAGGGTCTCCCATGCTGCCTGGAATTGGTTGCGATCTACGGCGCTGCCCATCGCATACACTTGGCGGCTCACGTAGGCTGCCGGCTGACGCGCCGTGATGGCCATCAAGCCCTCCTGCAGGGGCGTACAGGGGTAAACGTCCTCAATCTGATCCACGCTGACCCCAATGCTTGACGCAATGCGGAGTAAGCGCTTTTCTCGCTGCTCTGAAGACCCAACAGCGTGAAGCTCTTTCCACAGCTCGAAGGGGGCGGGATATTCGATGTCCTGGGCCAGTGTATCTCGCAAGGGCCGGGCCGCGAGCGTGGCGGCCAAGTCTGCCAGCCGCGGCGACTTGAAGATATCCTCGACGCTCAGATGCAGTCCGTGCGATGCTGCGACGACCACCATGCGCATCGCCGTCACCGAGTCGCCGCCCCGGTGGAAGAAGTTGTCGTTCATGGACATGTTGACCCCTGCGGGGAGGTCAAAAACCTCCAGCCAGAGCGCATGCACCTTCTTCTCCAGTGCGGTCACGGGCATGACCTGCGTTTCGGGCTCGTCGTCGTGGAGGTACCCCTGCAGGGCCGCCAGCGAGTGCTCTGCCAACAAGGCCCGAATGGCCCGTCGGTCAAGCTTGTTGTTGGCATTCGAGGGCATCTGGTCCACGGGTAGATATGCGACGGGGACCATGTAGACCGGTAGGATGCGGAGGAGTGTCTGGTGAAGCTCATTGAATGTTGTACGAAGGCTATCGGAGGGGGGTAGGGGCTGCAGTGCATCGGTGGCAGCAGCAGCAGTTGTTGCTGTTGGGTCAGCGCCGTCGTTATCGTCGATATTGTGGGTCTCATCGACGAAGTCCAATACCGCTACAAGGCTGATCTGCTCGCCGTCTCCCCCGTGCTGGACGCGCTCCACCGCGACGGTTCGCGCTCCAGCAAGGTGTCGCTGAATCTGGTATTCGATCTCGCCTACCTCGATACGCTGTCCGCGTATCTTGACCTGCAGATCCCGGCGACCAAGGTGGATCAGCGATCCATCAGGATTCTGCTTGACCAGATCACCGGTCCGGTACAGGCGTCGACTCGCGAGGCCCAGTCGGGGAATGAACTCGGGGTCCTGGACAAAGGCCGCTTGGGTCTTCTCATCGTCATTGAGATAGCCTCTGGCTTGGTTGGGGCCCTCGATCAGAAGCTCTCCGGGGGCGCCGATCGGGCAAAGCGCGTGTAGACTGTCAGCGTCCACCACCCACCATGCGCAAGCGAGAGGGAAGCCAATGTTGGACGCGAGGGCAGCGTCATAAATTGGACGACTGCAGGAGGAGTGGATCGAGCACTCCGAGGGGCCGTAGGCATTCAGTACAGTGGCATGCGGCGACCACAAGGCTACAGCTGCCGCAGTGACCGGTTCACCCACCAGGATCATCGTCCGCATTGAGGGAATTCTCTTAGGCACTAGCATGGATGCCACCGTCGATGTCAATGTGGCGCAATTGACCCGCATGGTGCTCATGGCTTCCGTGAGCCGATTGACGCGGTCGTGTTCCGAGGGAATGCAGACGCAGCCCCCTGCCCAGAGGGTGGTGATGACATCCTGGATTGTGGCGTCAAAGGTGTGCGCTGCGAACTGCAAGGTACGGGTCGTCTCGTTCATGTTGAAGGCGGCGCCATGCGCCTTAATACTGGTGCTGAGCGCCTGGTGCTCGAGAATCACCCCTTTCGGAGTGCCTGTACTGCCAGAGGTGTAGATGATCCACGCCATATTGTGCGGCCGTACCGTGCTTGCCAGCAGCAGTGTAGCTGTCTGTGCGAGGTCGAGTGGTGTGTGGTCAGCGAAGAACTTCTCGTCCACGGTCAAGAGTCGCAGGCCCAGTGGCGCCAGCCGTTGCTGCTGTTCACGGTCCACAAGCACGGTCTCCACAGCTGCATCCTGTGCGATGGCCTGCACGCGAGGCAGGGGATGAGCCGCCCCGAGGGGGACGACTACTCCTCCGGCGTACAGAACTGCGAGGATGGCAACAGCAGCCCACTTGCTCTTGTTCATACAGACTCCCACCGTGCGCTCCGGCTTCACTCCCAACTCGTGCCTGAGATGGGCGGCCAGGCTCGCAGCCTGTCCCGATAGTTCTACGTAGGTCAATTCGCCGTCCCAGGCGCTGATCGCACATGCAGTGGACTGGCGAACCACGCGGTCGTACACGGGGGTATGAATACATTGCTCAACGCAGGTGGGAACCACCCGGTTCCAGTCTAGAATCTGCTGCTCGTCCTGGGGACTGATATGTAACTTGTGCAGCGGCTGCTGGAGTCGGTCAAGGTTGGCGAGCTCCTTCACGAGATGTACAAAGTAGTCGACCACCTTTTGAATATAGGCCGTGGCGATGACATGCTCGTCATACTGGACGTCGATGTCAATTTCCTGTCGTCCCAGTGTGCATTCGATCTGCAGCCCGAAGCTACCAAAGTCCTCGAAGGGTGCAGGTAGAGCCTCCAGGCCCGGAAGAGATATAGGGCTGTTGTCGCTCTCGGCCGCGGGCTGGATGACCAGGAGGTTGCGGAGGGCCAGAGCCGTGCTACTAGTGCTGTCGGGCAGCAACCTTTTGATTTTCTGCAATCCAGTCTGCTCGTGGGGAATCATCTCGGTGGCTTGCTCCTGGATGGTTTGCAGCAGCTGGCCCACCGTCATGCTTTTGTCGACTGACACGCGGACTGGCACCGTGGTTAGGGTTGGACCGGCGATGTCCCGGATCTGCCGCACAGGCGCATTGCGCCCCGAGACGCTCGCGGCGAAGACAATGTCGTTGTGCCCGCTGTACTGGGCCATCACAATTGCCCATGCGGCACGTAGGATAGTGGAGAAGAGGACGTCACCATTTGCGCGCGCGGGAATTACCATGGCTGTTTGGATGCGTGATTGCGGTCTGGGGTGATAGTCGTGCTGAGGCAGTGGAGGCCAGTCGGCTACCACATCACCCTCCAACTGCTTTCGCCAATATTGGGCCGTCTTAACTGGATCTTGTGAGGTTAGGTAGCGGATGAAGCGGGAATATGGAATCGTCGGCGGGATCGAGGTCAAGGTCGAGGTTGGATGATCGAACCCATCGTAGACCTGTGCGAAGCGCTGCGCAATCTCGCGCATAGTCCAGCCGTCGTAGATACTGTGGTGTGCGGTCCAGACAAAATAGGTTTTCTCAGTTGATTCCGTTACCAACCCGTATCGCACGAGGGGTTGGTCCAACTTCATTCCTGCCTCGCGATCCTCGGCGATGTAAGCCGCGAGATCGGTGCTGAATCGCCAGACAATTTGGTCTTGAACCACCACTTGGAGGGCTTGTTGGTTGGGACCCATCATAAGACGGGTGCGTAGGATGGGCGTGGTCTGGGTCAGTATCTCCCAGGCTGCCTGGAACCGGTGCAGGTCGATAACGGCGTTCGAGAGAGAGTAGACCTGTCGGCTGATGTAGGCAGCGGATTGGCGCCCTGTAATCGCCATAAAGCCTTCCTGTAGTGGTGTGCAGGGGTATATATCTTCGATCTGATCCACGTCCACCTGGCAGCGCGCCGCAATCTCGCTCACGGCTTCGGGCGAGGCATTGTCCCACAAACTCAAGGGTTCTGGATCTGGATCCTCTGGCTGCTCGGCAGTAATATGCAAGCTGAGCTCCGTCAGCCTCTGCGCCAGATCCCCGAGGCGAGGGTGGCGGAAGACGTCGGCGACGGTCAAGTGCAGTTTGGTGCGTTGCCAAGTCAGGGCTGCCAGGTGCATCGCAGCCACCGAGTCTCCTCCGAGCTGGAAGAAATTGTCCTGCACGCTCACGCTGTCGGCGTCCTCAAACCCCAGGGCATCCACCCACAGACGCTGTAGTGTACGCTCCATGTCAGTGGCAGGGGCGACTTTCTCGCGCCCCTCAAGATACTGCTGCATGGTCTCGGCGGACATGGCAGCCAGCTGCTCGCGCAATGCTCGTCGATCCAGCTTCCCGGAGAGATTCCGCGGCATGTGGGCGACGGGGACGTATGCGCTGGGGATCATGTGTGTCGGGAGCACCTGGAACAGGGCGCTGTGGAGATCCTGAAATGCCGCCTGCATCGTCTTCGTGGGTGGCACAGCATTGCTCGTACCCGCCAAGGGGGGGGTCTGCACATCTTTCTCCTCCTCCTCGTCTCTGCTGAGAATTCTGCTCTCCGGCATAAACTCGATAGCAGCCACCAACACCGGCGAGACCTGGGCCCCGCGCTGAAGCAGTACGGCCGCCACGAAGCGGGTCTCAGCCAGATACCGGACGATCTGTTGTTCGATCTCCCCTATCTCAACCCGCTGGCCGCGGATCTTGACTTGCGTGTCGCGGCGCGCCACATAAACGAACGACCCGTCGTCCTTCTGGCGGACAATATCCCCACTGCGGTAGACCCGTCGTCCAAGGGTCAGTCCGAATCGGGCCATGAATCCTAGGTCTACAAGGAACTGTGACTTCGTTTTCTCGGCATTGTTCAGGTATCCGCGCGCCAGCTGCGGTCCCTCGATCAGCAGTTCTCCTGGCGCGCCCACAGGGCACAATCGATTGGGGTTGTGGGGATCAGCCACCCACAGGCGCGTGCCGATGGGCGTGCCGATGTTGTGGATCTCGTCGATGTTCTGTACCGGTCCGGCCGCCGAAGAGAAGATGGAGCACTCCGAGGGACCGTAGCAGTTGAAGAGGTTGACCTTGGTCCGCCAGCGATCAGTCACCTCGACAGTCGCCGGCTCTCCGCCCAGAACGAGCGTGCGCAGGCTGGGGGTCTCCTCGGGCGTGAAGAGCCCGGCCACGGTGTAGGTGGTGGCCAACGCGTTGACTTGGGTCTGGCGCATGAACGCTGTCAGCTGGCGCATGTCCAGCCGGTCTTCCTCAGACGGCACGCAGCTCAGCCCGCCCCAGGCCCAGGTTGTAAAGTAGTCTTCGATCGTGCCGTCGAAGGTGTGCGCTGCGTACTGCAACTTGCGCGTATGTGGGCCGAACCCATACCGCGTGCCGTGGGCCCGGATGCTCGTACATAGGGTTCCATGTTCGAGCACGGCGCCTTTAGGGGTCCCTGTGGTCCCGGAGGTGTAGATAACCCAGGCAGCATGGCTTGGGGTGACGCTGACGGGGGGAAAAAGTGCGACACCATCGTGGGTAGGGGCCGTTGTGGACAGACCCTCGAAAAGCTTCGAATCGACTACGAGAAGTGAGCAATCGACATGCCCGTTCAAACGGTCATATTCCGGGCCATCCACCAACGTGATGCTCACTGCAGCGTCGCCGAGAATAGTCTCAATCCGCTGGACGGGGTGGCTCACGCTCAAGGGCACCACAACTCCCCCGGCCTGGAGGGTGGCCAGTAGGGCAACCCCCGCCCATTTGGACTTGGCCATCGATACGCCCACCATCCGCTCTGGTCCTACCCCTAATGCAACCAGGCGGTGGGCCAGAAGATTAGCGAGGTGCGTCAGTTCACGGTAGCTGAGCTGTCCATCCCAAGCCCAAACTGCGAGTGCTGCAGGACGGACCTGTGCCTGCTCCTCCACCAGCTCGTGGATACATTTCTCCACGCGCTGGGGGACGGTGGCATTCCAGACCGCAATCTGTGCTTGATCGGCACGGCTCAGCAAATCCAGCTCTCGCAGGGACGAACTTTGGAGACTGGGGTCACAAAGCACAGTCACGATGTGTGCAAACTGGTCCAGCACACGAGTTATATATGTCGGCGAAACGACCTTCTCGTCGAATCGCGCCTGCACCCCAATGCTTGTCCCCAGCGTACACTCGACATTCAGCCCATAACTATCAAAGTCCTCTACGGCGAGGGGCAAAGCCTCAATGCCAGGGAAGTCGAGTGTCGTGTCGCTCTCGGCGGCGGGTTGAACGACCAGCAGATTACGCAGCTGCAAGGCAGGATGAGTCCGGATGCCCTGGAGCCCGGTGTGCTCGTACGCCATCATCTGGATTGCTTGCCCCTGGACCCCGCGCAGAAAGTCCGCTACCGTCTGGGTCTGTGCAACGCCGGTTTGGATACGCAGAGGCACGGTGGTGATCGTCGGCGCGATGATCTCGCTCACGCCAGGTACCGGGGCGTTGCGGCCGGAGACGTTCGCGGCGAAGACTACGTCTGGCTGGCCGGAAAATTGAGCCATGACTAGAGCCCACGCGGCGCGCAGCACGTTCGCCATGGCAATACTGCCCGGTCCAGCATTGGGGTTTATCGTGACCTCCTTGCGGATTGAAGTGCGGGCTCGGGGCTCGTAGCCCGCATGCGGCAGAGGCGGCCAGTCGGCTACCACCTCCTCCCCGGCGAGCTGCTCGTTCCAATATTGCTGGCTCTTGGTGGTATCAATTTGGTTGAGGTAGCGAATGAAGCGGGTGAAGGGGATGGAGAGCGGGATGTAATCCGCAGCATTATAGACGCGAATAAGCTCCTGGCATAGGAGACGCACTGTAAAGCCATCGTAGATGCTGTGATGCGCCGTCCAGACAAACACCGGATCACCGGACGGCGGATGAACCAGGCCATACCGTGCCAGAGGCGCTCCGAGCTGGATGCCGGCCGCTTCATCCTGCTGGAGGTACTCGTCCAGGCTGGAGTAGTGGTGCCAGACGATCGTGTCTCGCACCACCACCTGCCATGCGCCCTCGCGGTCGATAACTGCACGGGTTCGCAGCACGGGGGTATGTGCAGCCAGGGTCTGCCAGGCTGCCTGGAAACGGGGAAGGTCGATCTCGGGGGACAGCGCGTACATTTGCCGACTAACATACGCCGACGACTGGCGGGCAGTGCTGGCCAGAAGGCCCTCTTGCAAGGCTGTACATGGATAGACGTCCTCCACCTGGTCCACGGCCACTCCACACTGCTCGGCGATGAGAGCCAGGCCCGGCGCTCGCGTCTCGGGATTGGCATTGATAGCGTGTTCCCAGAGGGTGAATGGCGACGGGTCTTGCACCTCAACTTTACCACTTGTCTCTTCTTTCTCACTGAGACGCTCCTCGATAACGCGCGCGAGGTCCGCCAGCCGCGGGTGCTGGAAGATATCCGCCACAATCAACCTCCACTTCTTGTGCGTGCGGGTGGCGGCGGACACCAGGCGCATGGCCGTGACGGAATCACCTCCCAGCTGAAAGAAGTTATCATAGGCACCGACGTCCGTGATGGGCACCCGGAGCGCCTGAACCCATAGCTGCTGCACGGCAGTCTCCATGGGGGTTGAGGGCGCTACCTTACGCAGCTCCCTCCCCTCCCCGCCCTCTTCGTCATCCGCCGTATATTGGGCCAGACTGCTTGACGAGACTCCGTTGAGGAAGACCTGCACAGCTCGACGATCCAGCTTCCCTGAAAGATTAAGCGGGATCGCCGTGACCGGCACATACATCGCAGGCACCATATATGTCGGGAGGACGTCGAGCAGCGCTTGACGCAGGGCCTTGAATGTGGAGCGCAGAGCCGGCGTGGGAGGCAGGGTCTCTAGTACTGCATCCTCAGTCTCTTCACCTTCCTTGCGGAGCTCGATAGCAGCCACCAGAGACATCTTGGTGTCGTGCTCGAGCAGATGCACCACGGAGGTCTGCGCGTCGGCCAACTGCTGCATGATCTGGTGTTCGATCTCGCCAATTTCCACGCGTTGGCCCCGGATCTTGACCTGCGTGTCTCGTCGTCCGAGGTAGGTGAAGGATCCATCCGCGTGCTGGCAGACTAGATCGCCGGTGCGATAGATGCGATAGCCCGAAGGCAAAGACAAGAAAGCCGGCGGGACCACAAAGGCTGCGGCCGTCTTCTGAGGGTTATTGAGATACTCTCGGGCCATCAGCGGGCCCTCGATCAGCAATTCTCCCGGGGCACCGATGGGACACAACTGGTGATGACTGTGCGGATGGACCACCCAGTGACGCGTGGCCATGGGGGTGCCAATTGCGAGTGCCTCCTCAGGGCGCGACAGCGGTCCATTTGCAGTGCAGACCGAGCCCTCGGACGGGCCGTAGGTGTTGTAGATGGCGACGCCGGGCTGATTCCAGAGCGCGATGACTTCCGGTGTTAGGGCTTCGCCGGTCAAGGCCAGCGTGCGGAGCGACGGGGCGTCCGCGGGAGACAGCAATCGGGCCACGGTAGGGGTCAGACTGGCGAAATTGACCTGCATCCTGCAGATGGTGGCGGCGAGGGCATTGAGCCGGTCACTCTCGGACGGGATACACACGCAGCCACCGTAGATGAGTGTGGCCGACACATCCGAGATACTGACGTCGAAGGTAAACGGCGAGAACTGCAGTGCGCGCGTCTCGCTGGTGATCTTCATCTTGCGGGCCTGCGTCTGCATGCTCGTACACAGGCCACCGTGCTCCAAGACCACGCCTTTCGGCGTCCCTGTACTGCCCGAGGTGTAGATGATCCAGGCGGCGTTGTCGGGCGACACGGTGGTCGAGGGAGCGCTGGTCTGCACCGGCAGGGCCGTGCGAAGGCTGGCGTCGACGACGATCAAGCGAATAGGGAGGGCCATGGGGCTGAGTCGCGCGTGCTGCTCTTCGTCCACGAGGATCACATCGGCCGCGGTGTCGTGGACAATGACTCCAATTCGCGAGAGAGGATGCGTCACCCCGAGAGGCACGATCACGCCCCCCGCGAACAGTGTGCCTAACATTGCCACAATTGCCCATCTCGACTTATCCATGCACAAACCGACCTTCATCTCGGGACCGACGCCGATGCTGACCAGGAAGTGCGCCAGGCGAACCGCCTCGTCGAACAATTCTTGATATGTCAGGTCCCCATCCCAGGCACACACGGCTGGGGCGTTAGCGCGTGCGTGCACCTGATTGCGGAATAGCTCGTGAATGGTCCCATCAACACGAGAGATGTCGACTTGTGCATTGTGCTCAATGATCAGCTGTTGGTCCGCTGGGCTGATCAGATTCAGTTCGCCCAGACGGCGGGATCGGACGCAGGCAGGGTTATATAACTGCTGGACGAGGTGGATGAGATGCGCGAGGATCCGGTCCACCTGGGGTGTGGGCACGATGTGTTCATCGTACCGAATGGCGACACGTAGGTCGGTGGGACTCAGCGTGCAGTCCACAGTCAGGGCATGGCTATCGAATTCCGTGCCCGCCCCGCTGGTTGTCAACGGCCGGACGCCGGGGAATTGGAGCAGGGCATCGGCCTCGTCGGCGGTCTGCACCACCAGCACATTTCGCAGGTCGAGTGCCGGGACAGACTCTGGCGGGATGAGGGCCTTGATTGTCTGGAGCCCCGTATGCTCGTAGTCGATCATTTGCGCGGCCTGCTCTTGCACCGCGGCGAGAAACGAGGTCACCTCTTGCGTCCAGTCAATGTGCACACGCACAGGTACGGTAGTAATTGTAGGCGCCACAATGCTCTCAATCCCTTGCACCGGCGCATTCCGACCCGATACAGTGGCGGCGAAGATGACATCGTCGTGGCCCGAGTATTGGGCCATCAGCAGCGCCCAGGCAGCCCGCAGCACGTTGGATGCAGTCACCGTGTCGCCGCCGGACCCGTGGGCAGGCAGCGAGACTTGTCGTGTCCGTTCCAACCCCGGACGAGGCCGATAGTCGACATGAGGCAGGGGAGGCCAGTTGCTCATCACGTCTCCTTGGAGCTGATGTGTCCAGTACGCCGCCCGATCCTGTGCTCTACCATTATCATTCTCCTCTTCCTCCTCCTGGTCGCGAAGAAACCGGAGAAATCGAGTGAACGGCACCGAGGAGGGCACATCGCTGGTCTGGAAGATAGTCGCAAGATGTCGATACAGCAGAAGGGTGCTCCATCCATCGTACAAGCTGTGGTGGGCTGTCCACACAAAGAACCGCCCGCCGGACTCCTGGTCGTTCACCAACCCGTATCGCGCAAGCGGCGTTCCCAGTCCCATTTCCTCCTGCTGGTCGGCGCGCAGATAGTCTTCGAGACTGCTGCTATGGTGCCAGACAATCTCTTCGTCAAGGACGACCTGGTGCAGGGCCGTGGCAGACTCGCTGCCGACGACAATGCGTGTCCGGAGGATAGGCATCACGGCTACCAGCGTCCGCCAGGCGTCCTGGAAGCGATCGAGATCTAGACCCGGGTCAAGCGTGAAGGTCTGGCGATTGACATACGCCGAGGACTGTCGACCTGTAATGGCCATGAGTCCTTGCTGCAGGGGCGTACATGGATAGACGTCTTGGATCTTCTCCACGGCTGTCCCGCATTGCTTCGCGATCTCCTGCAGCTGCCCTTGCACCTGCGCCTCGTCAGCGTGGTCAACACCCAACCATAAGGAGAACCGCTCAGGATCAGCATCCTCCCGAGTCTCTGTGCTCTCAGCCTGCAATCGGGTGCTCAAGCGTTCTGCCAAATCCACCAGTCGGGGCTGTTGGAAGAGATCCGCCACAGTGACTTGGAGCTCGCGGCCCGCCGCGCTCGCCACCATGCGCATCGCGACCACCGAGTCGCCGCCAATCTGGAAGAAGTTGTCGTGGAGATTGATCTGCGAGACAGGCACGCGCAATGCGGTAGCCCAGAGGTTCTGCAGCTCGCGCTGAAGGGGCGTGGCCGGCTCGACGCCGACCTCCTCGCTCGTTGATAGATAGGGCTGGCGATCCGGCGGGGAGATGGCCGTCACTAGATCTCTGATGGCGCGTCGATCCAGCTTGCCCGAGGCATTCAACGGCATCTCTAGAATTGGGAGAAACACCGCTGGCACCATGTACGTCGGCAGCAGCTGGAACAGGGTGCCGCGCAGCCGTCGTAGGGCCGTGTTGAGGGCCGGCGTGGGCTGCAGTAACCCATGCGCCAGGACAGCTCCCTCGCGATGAGCCACGCCTTTTTGGAAGTCCACCACCGCGGTCAGACTGACCTGTTCGGCGCCTGGGTCCTGCACTAGTTCTACCGCTACGGACCGTGCACCCGGCAGCTGCTGGGTGATTTGATACTCGATTTCGCCGACCTCGACCCGCTGGCCGCGGATCTTGATCTGCGTGTCGCGTCGGCCGAGGTGGGTAATGGATCCATCCTCATTCTGACGCACCAGGTCTCCCGTCCGATACATGCGTCTCCGTCGGTGGGCTGGGGGCGTGGCTGGGTCGTCATGGAGCCTAAGCTGGTGGAGAAAGGCCGGCTCGACGACGAAGGCCGCTCGGGTCTTGGCCTCATCGTTCAGATACTCGCGTGCCAGCAACGGTCCTTCAATCAGAAGCTCGCCGGGCGCCCCGATGGGGCAGAGCGTGTGATAATCGGCCACGTCGACGACCCACAGCCGTGTGCCCATGCCGGTGCCGATGATGGCGGCCTGCTTGGGATCGGTCAAGGGTGGACTGCAAGTTGAGTGGATCGAGCATTCCGATGGGCCGTAGGCGTTCAGTACAGTGACATAGGGCAGCCACTGCGCGACCACGTCTGCCTTGACCGGCTCGCCGACGAGGGCCAGTTGCTGCATCGATGGTACGTCCTGGGGATGAATCAACCGGGCCACCGTTGAAGTTAGGGTTGCGAACGTCACCCCCATCGTTTGCATCGCCCGCGTCAGGTTGCTCATGCGATCCGCCTCGCTGGGCACACATACCACGCCGCCCCAGGTGAGGGTGGTGAAGTAGTCTTGAATACAGGCATCGAAGGTATGAGCAGCGAACTGCAGCATCCGCGTGTGCGACCCCATACCAAACCGGGCCCCATGGGCCTGGATGCTGCTGCACAGAGCGCGATGTTGCAGGACCACTCCCTTGGGCTTCCCTGTACTGCCTGACGTATAGATGACCCAGGCCGCGTTCTCCGGGCTAACAGTCGCATGCAGGATGTCATCCTGCAGCGGCAAGGTGTGCAGCAAAGTGTTATCCACCACAACAAGCTCTATATTCTCGGAGAGACTCGCGAGTCGGTCTCGCTGCTTCGTATCAACAAGGATAATTTGCGCCTTCGTGTCCACCAAGATACCGGCCAAACGAGCCGGGGGATGGGCCACCCCCAGTGGGACGACAACTCCGCCAGCTTGGAGCACCGCAAGCATGGCCACGCCAGCCCATTTAGACTTATCCATACACACCCCGACCATAGTCTCTGCGCCCACTTGCAGACCATGCAGATACCAGGCCAGCTGGTTCGCTTGGGTCGCCAGTTCTTGATAGGTCAAATTGCCGTCCCAGGCGCAGATAGCAGGGGCATCAGGGTGTTGGGCGACTTGCTCTGCGACGAGGTGATGAATGCACCGCTCATTGCGCGGCGGCGCGCCGCAATTCCACTTTAGAATGGTAGCCCTATCCTCGTCGCTGACAAGGGAGATATCGCCCACTCGCTCACGGCCGGAGCGGGCGCTGTAGAGCTGCTGCACGACATGTTCCAAGCCGCGCACCAGTCGCTGGACGTGAGGACCCGGAATCACATTCTCGTCGTAGCGCGTCTCCACGGTGATGGAGTCCTCGCCGAGCGAGCACTGCACCGTCAAGCCGTAGATGTCGAAGCCCTGCAGATTCACCGGCAGCGCCTCCAGACCGGGCAACTCAGCCCCCTCATCGCCCCAGTCCGCCTGGATGGCCAGCAGATTGCGCACCTCGAGCACGGGGCGCAGCGCGGGCACCAGCTTGCCAATCCCGTGCAAGCCGGCGTGCTCGAACTCCATCATCTCCGTCGCCTGCTGTTGCACCGCATGCAGGAAGTCATGCACTGACTGGTCGGGGTCGACGTCGACGCGCACCGGCACGGTGGTGATGGTCGGCGCCGCCAGTTCGGCCACCTGCCACACTGGCAGATTGCGGCCGGCGAGCGTCATCCCGAACACCACGCGGTGGCCTTGACCCGCCTGTTTGGCCATGACCATCGCCCATGCGGCGCGGATGATGGTGGGCAGCAGCGAGGCGGGGTGGTGGTGGCTCGTCGAGCGCGGCAGGCGCATCGTGTAGACGTCGCGGTGCATGGGCCGGGGCTGATAGTCTGCCCGGGGCAACGGGGGCCAGTTGACGACCAGGTCTCCCTGGAGCTGCGTCGACCAGTAGTGAGCGTCAGAGGTAGGGTCCCGGCGCAGCAGATGCCGGATGAACCGGGTGTATGGAACCGTGGGAGGGATACGGTCATGTAGGTAGATATCAACTAGACGTCGGTACATCAGGGCAGCGCTCCACCCGTCGTAGACGCTGTGATGCGCCGTCCAGACCAGAAAGCGTTCGTTTGGATGCTGTACCAGCGCAAAGCGCACCAGGGGCTGGCCGAGTCGGATGCCCTGCGCCTCATCGGCAGCCACATACTGGTCGAGGTCGGTGCTGTGGTGCCAGACCAGGTGCCGTCGAACCACCACTTGCAACGATCCGCCCTGGCTGCCCTCCTCCGGGTCGACCAGAATGCGCGTGCGTAGGATGGGGGTTACAGCGGCCAAGGTGTGCCAGGCTGCCTGGAAGCGATCCACGTCGATTGAGCTGCCCAAGCGGTACACCTGTCTACTCACGTAGGCCGTGGGCTGGTGGGCGGTGATGGCGATGAGGCCTTCCTGGATCGAGGTACAGGGGTAGATGTCCTCGATTTCCTCCACCGTGACACCACATTGTTGGGAAATGCGCGCGAGTCGTTGTTGAAGAGTGCGTCCGTTCGATTGCGCGTCTTCAGGCACTTGCCACAGGGCAAAGGGTTCCGGATCGGCCTCTTCGGTATGCTTCTCCGTGATCTCCATGGCCCGTCCTTCCAGAGCCCGGGCGAGATCCGAGAGAATGGGATATTGGAAGATTTCCGCCACCGTCAGGTGGTGTTCGCGCGCCTCGGGGAGCGCCACCATGCGCATCGCGGCGACAGAATCACCGCCAATCTGAAAGAAGTCATCCTCGCGGCCGATGGTGTCTGGCGCAACGGCCAGCGTTTCGGCCCACCAGTCACGCAACCGTTGCTCCATCTCCGTCGAGGGCGCTGCTTTAGGCCCTGTGTTCGGCATGTATTGTTGCAGGTCTGATGTCGAGAGGCTGTCTAGATATGTGCGTAGGGCCCGCCTGTCGAGCTTCCCCGAGGCATTGGTGGGCATCGTCTCCATTGGGATGTACAGCGTGGGCACCATGTACGTTGGGAGAGACTGTAGCAGCTTCTTCCGCAGGTCTTCTGCAATGGAGCGCAGCATGTCGCCTCCGTATGAAGTATTCCCGGCGAAATCCATTGCGGCCACCAAGTAGATCTGAGCGCCGCGCTCCACCAGCTCTACCGCGACGATAGCCAACCCCGGAAGATGCTGCGCAATGTTATACTCAATATCGCCCACATCCACGCGTTGACCGCGGATCTTGACCTGCTGGCTATTGCAACGGCCGAGATAGAGCAGGGATCCATCCGGGTTCTGACGGACCAGATCACCGGTCCGATACATACGACGTCCGGTCATCGGGAGACCTAGCTGCTTTATAAATCGCGGGTTAACGACGAAGCTCGCCGCAGTCTTGGCTTCGTCGTTGAGATAGCCACGGGCCAGCAGGGGCCCTTCGATCAGCAGCTCGCCCGGGGCGCCGATGGGACACAGAGTCTGGTAATCTGTCGCCTGCACGACCCAGAAGTTGGACGCCATGGGCCGGCCAATATTGCGGGCCTCATCGATGTGGAATAAGCGTTGGCTGTTTGAGACCACAATGGAGCATTCCGACGGACCGTAGGAGTTGAACACGCTCGTGCGTCGGGCCCAGGTTGATAGAATAGCGGGCTTTAACGGCTCTCCACTCAGGGCCAACGTGGTCAGTGAGGGCACAGTCGCCGGGGAGAGGGTGGCGGCCACCGTGGATGTCAGTTCCACGTAGGTGACCTCCATGCGCGCAGCTGTCGCAGCTAATGCGTTCATGCGCTCCTCTTCAGACGGCACGCAGACACATCCACCGGCCTGCAGGGTGCTGAAGATGTCGCATAAGCTGACATCAAAGGTGTAGGCCGCGAATTGCAGCGTCCGTGTATATTGATCGATCCCCACAGCGGCCGCATGGGCTGTGAGACTGGTACAAAGCGACCGGTGCTCCAGCACGACCCCTTTCGGGGTTCCTGTACTCCCTGACGTATATACCACCCATGCCGGGTTCTGTGGCGTGACTCCCGTGTGAGGCGCTTCTGGCTGGGGTGTCAGACTCGCCATCAGAGTGGCATCAACAACCAGCGTCTCAAATTCGTCGTCCCCCAGCCGAACCTGCTGGTCCTGGTCGACGATAATCACGAGTGGGCTGGCATCTTGAACAATACCCTGCAGGCGAGCCAGTGGGCTACGCACCGACAAGGGCAGGACTGCAGCGCCCGCCTGGAGAATGGCCAACATGGCCACCACCGCCCACTTAGACTTGTTCATACACAGTCCCACTGTCTGTTCGGGGCCGACACCCAGGCCGACCAGGTAGTGGGCTAAGGCGATACTTTGGCTTGCTAAATCAGCGTACTGCCACCGGCCATCCCATGCGTCGACTGCAAGGGCCGTCGGCCGCACCCGCACCTGGTCTGCAACCAAATCGTGAACACACCGGTCCACCGAGGCAGGCACGGTGGCGTTCCACTCCAGGAGCTGCTGCCGTTCGGATGAAGAGATCCCCAATGCCTCCTGCAGGAGCTGATCCCGGGCCGACCCACGGCTGAGTTCCTGCACCAAGAAGGAGAACTGGTCCATGACCTTGGTCAGGTCCGCAGGGGCAATCACCTCGTCGTCGTACATGACCTCCACCGCCACAGCCTGGCGCCCCAAAGTACACTCCACGTTGACGGCATAGCTGTCAAAATCCTCTAGGGGTAGCTGCACCGGGCTGAGTCCTGGGAAGGCCTGGTAGACGTCGCGTTCGGAGGCGGGCTGAATGATCAGCAGGTTCTGGAGAGTTAAGGCCCCGCTCAATTCCGGCAGCATAGTCTTTATCGTCTGCAGCCCGGTATGCTCGTACTCGATCATGTCCGTGGCGTGGCGCTGCACGGCCTGCAGGAATGCGCCGACTGTCTGCGTGCGATCAATGCGGATGCGCACGGGGACGGTGGTGATCAGGGGGGCGGCGATCTCGGCGACCTGCGAGACAGGGGCATTTCGGCCCGACAGGGTGGCTGCGAAGATAATATCGTCCTGGCCGGTGTACTGGGCCAGAACGAGCGCCCAGGCGGCGCGGAGGATATGCGACACCATGACCACGCCCTGCTCAGCGGCGTCGTGCATCAAGATATCGCCCTTGAACTGGGCCCGGGGACTAGGCTGGTAGTTGGGGGTGGGCAGCGCCGGCCAGTGCGCCATCAGATTGTCCCCCTGCAGTTGGTCATGCCAATACCTGGCGGCGAGAACCGGATCTTTCCCTTCCACGTAGCGCACGAAGCGCGTGTAGGGGGTTAAAGGGGGCAGCTGGTTGTGGAAGTATATGGCGGCGAGGCGACGGTAGAGGAGCACTGCACTCCATCCATCGTAGACACTGTGGTGGGCAGTCCACACAAAGATCGCCCCCTCGCCGTTCGTGTCCTTTGAGCTGGAGATGAGACCCCACCGGGCCAAGGGCTGCCCGAGCTGCATGCCTTCTTTGCGATCCTCCGCCAGATAGCTTTTCAGGGAGGTGCCATGTCGCCAGGGGATGTGTTTGCGGCTCACCACCTGCAACGCCCGGCCGCTTGGGCCCACACAGATGCGGGTGCGCAGAATGGCGGTTCTGGCGATCAAGGTTTCCCAGGCCGCCTGGAACCGATCGAGGTCGATGGTGGGTGCCAGGGTAAATGCGCGGCGGTCGACGTAGGCTCCGGGTTTGCGGGCAGTAATGGCCATCAATCCTTCCTGCAACGGGGTGCACGCGTATACATCTTCAACCATATCGACTTCAATCCCGCATTGCTTGGCCACCTGCTCCAATAGTCGGGGTTCTTCTTCGGGACTTGCCTGGCTGTAGTCCTGCCACAGGCTGAAGGGTTCGGATTCGGCTTCCTCGAGTCGCGAGGCTCTCGTGAGCATCAGAGCTGTGGGTTGTGCATCGTCTCGCGACGGTCGTACTTTCACAGTCGAGAAGAGTTCCGAAATGCTGGTGGCATTGATGATCGCGCCCGTCTGAACCTCCATTCCACGCTCCTCACAGCGCGCAATCAGGTTGATAGCGGCTATGGAGTCCCCGCCCAGTCCGATGAACGACTGCGACACATCTAACCTGTCGACCTCGATGCTGAGAGCCTCGGCGCAGATGATCTGGAACTCCTCTTCGTGGGTGGTCGCCCTTGGGACGTCGATGAGAACTCTCGTCTCCGTCTCATTCTCCGGGGACTCGAGAGCACTGTTTTCCGGGGTCATGATGTTTGTGGGGTGAGTTAGAGTTACTTACTATTACTTACGGGTATCGAAGAATAGGTTGAGTATCGAGGAAAGGAAGAGGCACACAGAAAGACCCTCTCTGATGCTGATGCTGATGACTCGTGCGCTAGATTTGTCAGATGCGCTGCCCGTGAGAGGACCGGGTCGACGACAAGGGACCTGGAATTTCCGCGACTGAACGTGGAAAGATTGTTGAATCAATCATCCAGGAGCAGGGCATTGATCCTCCTATATTGCCCAGTGGACGCTATCGCTCGGAGGATTCATGATCGCTGCGAAATAGCCTCATAGGAGACCTGGACCAGACCGATTGCAGACTTGACTTAGGGCATGCCGGCTGCCACATGGTGAAGGGTCAGCCGATGGGGCCGCGGTCAACGTGGTTCCCCACTCTTCATGTCTTCTTTTCTGGTGTTCTGCTTTACTGCTTTTCTTTTCCTTTATCCTCATTCACTGCCTAGTTCAGCCGCACTATTCGTTGTTTTCACTTGGCTGTGGCTGAAATCGGGGTGGATGGTGGCCTTAGTCAGCGACGGCTCTCGGATGTAGCCTGCGTTGCTTGTCGAGGGCTGAGTCATGCTTCAAGTCACTACTAGGTAGGTACTAGTAATCAGAGATATGGAAGTAATCCGAGCAGTGGTAAATGCTGGGCCCCTAGCCTCTCGCTTTATCTTTCGTTTGTGTTTTTTATTTGTTGTTTTTCGTCCTTTATTTCATCTTGGTTCTCTTGCCCGTAAGTCGCTCGGAGCTGCCTTTTGCGGTTGCGATAACTTCTACCCGCCATTTCAGGCCTCGTCGACACACCACAAAGAAGTCAATAGTCATCGGTAGAGAGTTGGGTATTTATCATCGTTTACTCTTTCTATGCCGCAGGGCACATTTCAGTATTTTTGTGTTGGTGGGTGGGTTACATAAACTCAAGGCCGTAGCTGGGTGCAGAATATATATCCGGGTTGCCTAGTAGATTTACCCAAGACTGTAAACCGGAGATAGTATGACAGACCACCAGTAACTTATTACTCCATGCCTAGGACGTCTGGTGCATGGCAGGTCAAGAGGTAAGACTGGCAACCAAGCCTTCCTCGGTTATGCTGGCAGGAACTGCCCTGATGGCGCCAGCCCTAAGTATCGCCCTGCCAGCAATGACCTCGACGGGACCTTCTCCCCATTTCTCTCGAAGTCTTAGAGCGTTCGTCGCAAAGACGACCAGCAAAAGAGTTTGCATTCTTGCAACAATTGATTGACACAGTTTCATGTGCATGCTCCTACAGTATGCTGCCTGAATTACTCCTCGCGGGGGTTCCGAGACTGCTACTACACGCAGCCATCGGCATCACCATCGTTCTCCTTTTCTACCAGCTCGTACTGGCGGACTCGCGCCAACATCGTCAGTTCTGGCAGAAGCAGCCATGGGTAGGCATTCGCGTCGAGTGGTTTTCCAGATTCCGGGCCTCGCTGCGCACCATCCGCGGCATCCGGCAGATGCTAGAGGAGGGCTATGAGAAGGTTGGTCGGTTCCCTCGCGCGACGTCTCTCTCACGTATTTTGTCTCACTCCACTAACGTGCACAGTACTCAAAGCATGGCCGGGCATTCGTGCTGCCAACCATCGCGGAAGCGCCCTGGGTCGTCCTGCCGCCGAGCAGCATGCGCGAGCTGCTGGCGAAGTCGGACCGGGAGCTGGACCATGAGATCATCCACGCCGAACAATTGCAGCACTACTACACTCAGGGCCCGCTGGGATGGCACGCGGTGCAGGTGCCCCTCCAGTTCGACCTGGTGCGCCGGCAGCTGACGCGCCAGCTGCCGCTGGTGCTCCCCATCATGGCGGATGAGGTCGACCGCAGCTTCCGGCAGTACTGGGGCACGCGACACACAGCACCGACGGAGGTTGAGGTGAAGGTATTCGAGACGTGCACGCAGATCGTCACCCGCGTGGCCAACCGGGTTTTCGCTGGGCCGGACATCTGCCGCAGCGAGGCCTTCCTGCACCACTCACGCCAGTATTCCGAGGGTGTCGCGCGCGCAGGCATCATCATCCGCCTGTTACCGCGGTGGCTGCGTCCGCTGCTCGCCCCGCTGATTACGTATCCCAATCGCAAGAACCTCCAGATCTGCGTGGACATTTGTATGCCGGCCGTGCAGGATCGGCTGCAGAAGACCCTGGTGCACGATCCCGCCTGGGAGGCACCGGTTCGTGGACATTCTTCTATGCCCGTCTCCTCACCCTCAAGGAGCATCCATCCCCTCTAGACATAGGGCTCCAAAGGTTGACGGTTTTACAGGTTGACGGACTCCAATGGCTCCTCGAGGAGTGCGTGAAACGCGATGACCCGCGCGAGATCGACCCGCGGCTGATCACGCAGCGCCTGCTCATGCTGAATTTCGTGGCCATCGAAACCATGGCTATGTCCATCACCCACACGGTGATCGACCTGTACTCTGCCCCGGATTGCGAGACCTTCGTGGCCCGGCTCCGCGAGGAATGCGAGCGCGTCTGGCGCGAAGAGAACGAGCCGCTGAAACCGCAACCGCAGTCTTCGTCTCCGCCACAGTTACACCCCCAGCCAGACCAATGGACCAAAGCCGGCCTGGACCAACTGGTACGAGTGGACTCGACGATCCGGGAATCGATGCGCGTCTCAGATCTGTCGTATATCGCCGTGCCGCGCATGGTGGCGCCGGCCGCGGGACTGGATTTCGACCCGGGATTGCATCTCCCGCGGGGCGTGCGCGTGTGCGTGCCGGCGCATGCCATCCATCGCGACCCGCTCAACTACGCCGATCCATTGACCTTCCATCCGTTCCGGTTCTGTGACTTGCAGGATACTGCTGCCTCCGACCGAAAGAAAGCGCTGTCCATTGCGACAACGACCGATGCCTTCCTGGTCTTCGGGCACGGGCGACATGCCTGCCCGGGCCGGTTCTTCGCGGCCCAGACGATGAAGCTTATGCTGGCGTATCTGGTGCGGCACTATGACGTAGAGCCGATTGACCATGGGCCCGAGAAGGAGGTGCAGGTTGGGACGGCGAGGCCGAGTGCCCGGCTTTGTCTGCGGGTGCGTTATCGGGACTGATGGGTGGGGTGGAGGGAGTGGAGGAGTAGAATGTTTGTGGGAGGTCTTCAGTGGGGAGACTACAGTAGTGGCTTTGGAGCTATATACGCGGTGATCTCTTCAGACATCATCGAATCAGATCTTTTCCTACCTGCTAGCACAATGACAAAAAGCCAAGTTATACATCCGAGCGCTGTACCATCTCTATCTGACTGGAGCCAGTCTCGACACGCTGCAGCTTCAGCTGCTGCTGGGCGGAGGCGTTCCAGCGCTCACGCGAAAACACCAGCCCCGGATGGAAGGCCGTCATGGCGCCGCAGGCCAGAATCATCATCACGCCTTCGAGGACCATGAACGCGACCTGGTCGTTTGCGAGCGCGCTTCCGAATCCCCCCTTCAGTTCGGCGACGCGGAAACACGAGCGGATGAAGATGGTTGTGGTTGCGACGACCAGACCTGGAGGAGTGTTAGCTGGTGGCTGGGTGGATGAGAGACAGAGGACAAGGGCAAGCAGACGCACTGATCAAAAACCCCCTCCATTTCCACCCAGCGTGCCAGTCCACGGGTAGCAGCGAGCCCGACCCCTGGGTCTGGTGCCGGCGCATTCGGAGGGCGAAGTCGCCCGCCAACGCCATGAAGGCTACCAATGAGACTACCTGGCACGCCAACCCGGCGATCATTATGTTAATGCCGAGGTCGCTGAGGCTGGTGTTGTCCGTGCCGGCGGTGGAGGTGATGGCGCCGCCAGCGGATTGCAGGATCAGACACACAAGATCACAGGCGATGAAGACCTTGGAGTACGTGGCGGGGGCGAGGCGCGAGCACCGGGGGTCGTACTCAATCACGACGCGTCCGAAGCACAGGTAAATCCCGGCGGAGATAAAAGCCGGCCCCAGGGTGAGGCAGATCAGGTACTGCAGGAACGCGTTGAAGGAAAAGGGGTCCTCGTGCAGGCTGATGCGCCCCGCATAGCCAATGATCTCCAGGAGCAGCCCCCCCATCACCGCCACCAGGTAGCTGGTGGTGCGGTGCCACACCCCGAGAAACAGATGAACGACCGCCGCCACGCAAAAGAGCGCCAGGAAGAGCGCGTTGCCGGCCAGCGAGGGGATGTAGTGGATCATGGCATAGTCGAGACTACACGTTTGGAGCGTGCACACAAAGGTGCTGGTGTCGGTGGTAGTGGCGTTGTTGGTCGACATGATTTCCACTGTGGAATGTAGAATGAGCGTGGTCTAGGGCAATTCTAGTAGAGTGAAAAGGAGAGGAGGGTAAAATGAGTGAATGACGCTGAAGCCTACAATGCAAGTCCCTGGCTGGGAGCAAAAAGAGAGAATGGCCGACGGACTGAATGAGAGTAAAGAGTAGGAAGAGACTGGAAACCAGTTTCGCACAAGCAGAGAAGCAGAGAACAGAAAAGCGAGATTGTAGGTTGCTTTGATGGAGAGAGAAGAGAGGCTGGCCCCGGTTCGTCAGGGGCATCCCATTTGCAATCGTGCCCTAACTCCAACCCATCGATCCGCCACTGGCCGGATCTCCAAGCCACGCACGCCCGTTGCAGCACGCACTCGACGACGAATCAGAGTGGAATAAATACCTACTATGTAGGTAGAGACGGAACTGTGCCTCTACCGTTGGAAACTCAAGACCGGATCTAAAACAGTGCCGTGGAGAGTGTGGAGGAGTGTGCGTCGGAGCGGCGGCGCGTGGCGCGCGCTACGGGAGTCAGAGCGTGACACTGATTGACACGCCGAAAAGTCTCGTCTTACTACTCCGAACTTAGTCTAGGCTCGTCTTGTCGTCCAGTCTAGATTTTTCACTGGGTACGGAGACTCCGTAGTTTGAACCTCTCAGCCTTGTCCTTGACTGGGTTGAAGAGAGCAACGCCCCCACCTCTTCTCTCCCCCCCCTTCTCCCCAATCCTCCCTTCCCCAAGCCCTCGCCTGTCTCGCGGCTCGATATCGATTTATTGACGAAACTCTCCCAAGTAACCGTAGATAGAGTGCATTGATGCTTGAGATCCCAGACCCACTACGCTCTGCACGTATCATGAGTTTTTCTCATCGCCGTTAGAGACAAGAGAAGCGGTTCTACTTCATGCCAAGACAAGAAGGAAGCAACGCGAGAAGACAACGTGAAGGCACCCTCAATAGCAACGGTGGAAAGACTGGTAATGTTTCATGCTCCAACGCACCCGACTGCGAGCAAGATGAGGAAGACTTCGGCCGGATGCAGGGCCTATGAATAGCTGCCTGTAAGTAAACAATGCCGAGAAACAAGCCAGGGATCCGCAACATCTGATTGGTCTGCTCGCTAATGACGTCACAAGTCATGATTAGGGGCAAATATCACCAATCACAACCCCGCACGCAGCAAAACCAAGCCCTGACATGCATGTCGCAGCGGAGGTCGTATATGCATCAGCAGGTTTCCAGACTCGATGGCAGCCAATGGGAAAAGACTGTGCTGACGATGAAAATAGATCTTTACATGGGAGTCAGAGTCAAAGGAATGGAAAGTACTCATATCAAAAGAGCCCGTGTCCGGCTATCCCCCGCTACATACATTCTTGCAGGTCCAAAGCTCTCTCACACTACCACACTCACAGACCGCAGCAGAAAGCCACAATGGGGTGGAATCCGTCACACGAGTTGATTGTCTTTCTCGTCATCTGTGGATGTGTGGTGTTTGTCTTCATAGGATACGCCTTGGCTCGACTGTACGGAGGCGACACCTTCGACGGGCCTGGGCTGCCGGGGATGACGCCGGAGCAGGCCTCATACATGCGAGACGTCCGACTACGGAACCGGGAGGATATGTTTCATGCTCTGCAGGGCATGGAGAAGGGGCATCGGGGGGTAAGGGACGTCTAGAGCTCTTCAAGGTATCAAGCCTCGCGGTCTCATCGTACGATGCCCACCAAGCTGATCTTGCTAATGGATGCGTGCCAGTAGAAAGGGAACGAGAATAGCTCTTATCACGCTGAGCACGATATCGCCGGACGATTATGAACATCACGAACATGAAATTTTACCGAGTTCCTCTCTTTGCGTCACTTGAGAGAGATAAACTGAAACGATACCTTGAGATATGATGACGGATTGGAAATGAAGATACGGAGGCAGGGTTGGTTCACAACGTGCATTCTTGCTTGGGTCAGGTTTTCATTGGAGTACTGGAGTCAATAGAAATGTACGCAACAAAGTTACGATGATTGAACATTGCACGTAGCCAGGGACTGGCTTTGGCTTCAATTACATCAAATCTACACAAATGGCTCCTTACTCACAGCTTCCGTTGTTGTCGATACGGCGAATAATAAATCGAAGGACCGAGCTAAGAAGCAGAAACAGGACAGACCGGCTTCACCACGCAAGCACCTCCTGATTCCCCCTACTTTCAGCCTGACGCCGGCCAAGATGGATCTCAGCCAGCGCAGAGGCCGGCACTGTCCCAAGACCATGGTCATTACAAAGCGACTGGAAAACAGTCTTGCCAAACATCTTGTACGCCGCCGCCAGCCCTTGTCGCTGGATCAAGGCCAATTCCATCTCATCCAGCACAAACGGGTACGATCGCTCGTTGACGGTGACCTGTCGACGGGGCAGGTCGATCTCAATCGCTACCCCGGTCTGCGCCGCCGCGTAGAAGTCGTCGTCTGTGATGGTGAGGCCGAGGAGACCGATGGTGGGCTGATTGCGTCCATAAATGAAGGAGAACGATCGTGCAATCACACATTTCACACCAAGACCTGCATCATCACATCCGTTAGAGCCAAGGACTTCTGCTTCCCTCGACACCATCTCTCTCGCAAGACGCACCTTTCAACGCTCGTGGCGCCTCTTCCCGTGACGAACCGCAACCAAACGCTTTCCCGGCGACGACGACATCCAGACCAGCGCGGACCTGATCGCGAAACTCAGGATGGGTCAGCTCCAAGCAATGACTCCCAAGCAGGACGTCGGTTGGACTCTCTAGAATGAAGGCGGCCGGGATAATCTAGTCCATGCGCTGTCAGCTATAGCTCTTTCGACCAGCCAACGACTGAGAAAAGCAACCCCTCCCTCGCGCGCAGACTTACCGCGTCTGTATCCACAAAATCCCCCAACCTCGAGATTCGGCTGCGAAAGACTTCAACTGGTGCGCTGTTCAATTGAGTTTGTTCCAGCTCTGGGACGGGCGTCGTTTTCGACGGGGTAGCAGCAGGGTTGCGAACGGATAAGTAGGGCTCGACCACGGGAGGCATCGGGGGTGCGACGACGGGGCTTGTATTGTTCTTGAGACGATCTCGCAATTTCCCTCGCGGCTCAGCCTTCATGCGTCGGCAGCTGGCCAATAAGGTCTGATACCTCTCGAGCGACACCTGCTGAAGAAGAGGGCGAGGGTCGGTCAACTGCATGCTAAAGGACGAGGCAGCAACGACGGCAGCGGAGCAAATATGGCCGGTGGATCCTAAACAGTCAGGTCAGATCACGCCCCACCAGAGTATCCCTTTGTCTTCATCCCACAAGTGAAAGACGAACCTGGACCCATTCGGTTCTTGAAATTGCGGTTCTGGGACGACAGCCAATTTTCGCCCGACCCCGCGCGGTCTGCTCCCATCCCCAGGCATAGACTGCAGCTCACGGCGGGGAGCGTAAATCCAGCCTGGGCGTAGATCTCCAAGAGCCCCAACGCGCGCAGGTTGCTCACGATCGGTAGACTGCCGGGGACCACCATCCGTTTCCCGCGGGCCAGCGGCAGCTCCTTCTGCAGGCCGGCTTCGAGGACCAAGGCGCCCAGGATCAGGTCTTCCTCAGTCGTGGTGCACGCGCCGATGAAACAGCCCTCGAACCGCATGTCGAGCCTCTCCGTCACAGGCACGACATTGTCCGGGGACGGGTAGAGGGCAATAAAGGATTCGACCTCCTCCAGATTGATCTGGAAGGTTGCGGCGTACGAGGCATCGGCGTCCGGTTGAAAGTACAGAGATTGCGTCCTGTAGCGAGCTTGAGGCCGATCCGAGATGAATTGGCTGGTAACCTCGTCTGGGACGAAGAGGCCGGTAATGGCACCAAGTTCCTATAGTCCCCCTCTCGTTGCGTTAGTCACCGTAAACGAATGCAGAGCTGAAGTCAGAGGGAGACCTTACGGTACACATGTTACAGATAGCAAACCGAGCGTCACAGGAAAGATAGCGCGCCCCCGTCCCTCCGAATTCCACAATCCGATCCGCCGCATGGGTGTTCCGCTTGAGGGTTTTGAGAATGTAGAGGATCACGTCCTTGCCGCGGATATACCAAGCTGGTTCGCCCACGAACTCCACACGGATTGACTCCGGGGTCTTGATCCACGTCTCCCCGGTGGCCAGCGCCGCCATCACATCGGCCGCGCCAAGTCCGATAGCGAGGGAACTGACGGCGCCTGCTGAGCAGGTGTGTGAATCCGAGCCGAGGACGAGCATCCCCGGCTCGGCTCGCTCGCGCACGAATTCCGTATGGAGAATCGTGAACTGGGAACAGGAGGGTTGATCTAGTTAGCCAGGGACAACGAAGGATAGGGCAGGATTTTGCCGGTAGCAGACATTTGAGCCCTGGTTTTCCGTCATCTTGAACTTCGTCTTCGCATCGTGCATGCCATCAATCAACTCCCGGACCCGCGGTTGGTGGTATGTCCGGGGATCCACCGTGTGATCTCCCGCCAGCCAGAACCGGTCGTTACGCCAAACGGTTGGTTCTTCGCCGATGCTAGTCATGCTGTATTTCATGCCCTAGAGGATCTCAGAAGCGGACGGGATCAGCTTCTCTACGAATCACCCAGGAAGACAAGGGCAGAGGAAGAACCTACAACCCAGGATAGCTCACTGGCAATAATCCAGTCAACCATGACCCGAATAAAGTCACCCCCTTTCAAGCCCTCCGCGGATGGCAGCGAGAAGGCGTGGTGCGCGAGGATCTTCTCCGCCAGCGTCATGGGGCGCGTGGAGGAGGCCCTGACGGACAGTGGAGAGGGCAGACCTCGGGTCCTTTCGACGGAGTTCAAGGATTCCAGCCAGGCCTCGAGAAGGTCCTGCAGCCCCTGTCGTTGTGTCTGATTAAGCGACCAGTCGACAACTGGGGTCTCAGGAAATCCCAAACCCCCGCGCTCGGTCTCCGTGTGGCACAGGTCGTGGACATATCGTAGGGTCGATGCGTCTGCGGAACGGCCGCTGGCGTCAAGCTCGGCGGCGAGATGGGTGAGAAGTGCGGTGGGACTAGAGATCACCACGATTTCAGAGTTAAGAGGGATGGTCGGGCGTTCGCAAGCCAGGTACCAGAGGGTTTGGCTGGGCTGTCGGTTTTGAATGCTGCATTCCTCTAAGTAAATCCCACGCGTGTCGGCCAGAAGTTTCACAACCGCGCGCACGAAAGCCCGCCCGTCCTCGGGGAGACTCTTGTCGTCTAAGCTCAATCCGATCCCTGGGTTGAACATTGTGTGAGTGTGCGATAATCGATACGAATTTAGTAGCTTTGCAGGGCGGGGCTTGGGCTATTCATATGCTCGGAGGAGGGGGTGGCGTCGAGGAATCAACCGGTTCGCTTACAATTAAAACCGATTTTGTGGAACGAATTCGATTTGCTTGGTTCTTTTCAAATGTTAGAATCGGGTGTCGAAGCTGAGATGATTATGATTGTGTTTCTTCACCCAACCCTAATTTGGAGGCGCTGCGTTTGAGACAGAGAGGTTGGGATCCCATTTACTTCTGATCCCAGAGAAATGCGACATGGATTCTTTCTTTTGATAGACATCATCATAAATCTGCCGCAGATACATAAATCTATGGATGGGACAATTGACTACGCGTGATCTTTCAAATACGCCACGATTGTGTCGCCGAACTCCGTCGTGGAGGCCGTACCACCGACATCTCTGGTCCGACAACCCCGTTCAATGACCTCCCTGACGGCCGTTTCGACCGCTTGAGCCGCGTCCGGCATCTCAAGTGAGTAGCGGAGCATCATGGCGACAGACAAGATCATCCCGGTGGGATTAATGATGCCTTTACCGGCGATGTCCGGGGCGGATCCTGAGCCGCATAACTGCTATCAGCGAAACAGATCCTGTCGCATACAAGAGGAGGACACTTACCGTGAACAGGCTCGTAGATGCCACGCACTCCATCGCCACCATCAGGGTCAGGAAGCGCACAGAGACTCGCGCTCGGAAGCAACCCCAAACTTCCGGGGATGGCGCTGGCTTCGTCGCTCACAATGTCACCAAACATATTACTCGTCAGAACGACGCCATTCAACGTCGTCGGCCGGCACGCCAGGGTCATGGCTGCCGTATCGATGAGCATATGCCGCAGAGTCAGGTCGGGGAACTCGGTGCGGATGGTCTGCTCCACGACGCCGCGCCAGAGTCGGCCACAGGCAGCGAGCAGGTTGGCCTTGTCCAGGCTCGTGATGGGCAAGGGGGGATCTGACGCCCGGGCCAGTCGGGCAGCCAGCCGTGTGACACGCTCGATGGCGTGCCGGTCATAGTGGTCGAGGTCCGAGGCCGCGTTGAAGGTCCCATCATGTTCCTGACGATCCCCGTAGTAGATGCCGCCGCTGAGTTCCCGAACGATGAGGAGATCTGCTCCACGGCACACGCGCTTCTTTAGACTGGACGACTCGATTAAGACAGGCGCAATAAAGTTGATCGGGCGCAGGTTGCCAAACGCGTCCATTGCTTTGCGCAGTCTCCCCAATCCGGATTCGACGGGGATTGGACTGTCTTGCCATGCCTGTGGGAGCGTCCTTTTGCATCAGCGTCTGCTGTCCTTTCCCATGGATTTCTTTCGCGATGATGATAAGACTCTTCTCACATACCGGACCACCCACGGCGCCTAGAAGGACCGCTGATGCGTTCTGTGCATCTTGCAGGGCCTCCTCGGTTACAGGGGTGCCATACGCATCAAAGGCCGCCTATTCCATCTCCGCAACGGGAACAATTAGTGGTGACATTCTTCACCCATAAATCAGCCTGTCAGGTGGATCAGAATGCGAACATACTCCCCCGAGAAGATGATGTTTGAGGTTCAGTGTGACCCTAGTCTGATATTGCCTCTGGATCTCGCCAAGAACCTGAGGTAGTCCATTGTCAGTCCTATCGCTTTGCGGATGTCCCACGAGATCCAGGGGCTCGAGTACCTTCAGGCCTTCAGCCATCACCTCGGGACCTCCGTAGTCGCCCGGGAACACCACGATATCATATGTTCTAACCATTGTGATGGTATCTATTGTAACTCTTGGTAGTATGTGACAAGTATTGTCTGTGCTACCGTTCCAGACACAAGAGCAGTACAGGAAGATGTATATGAAGTAGGCGTGTGACGGGGCTAGATGCTCTTTAGGGCTTCTGGATCATTATCTACGCTGGTCGACAATCGCGGCTGGGCTGGTTCGCAACCGACCAGGCACAGTTCAGCGAGACTATGGCTACTTTCCCGGTTCACCCAGACACAAAGAAGTAGTATCATAACTGGTAAGATCTGGTTCTGGATGTGCTTACCGATGAGTCAAGCAGAATGGCTGGTGGTGTAGCCTACAGCGGGAAACGCAGCCCTGACTAAGCAAGATGTTTTCAAGCGAAGTACTCCACACAACACAGAAAGAGATAGAAAAGGGGTGGAATGAGATTATTGTTACCGTTCATATAGCACCTCGCTCACTTGGGACCCCTTTTAACCTTTTATCCCACGTGGTAAGGGAAGACAGCCACAATGACTGGCGCTTGGTAAGCCATAGGCCGGTCATGCAGTGCCCGGCTCCCTGGCCATGTGCAAAGAAAAGAACCGCAATCCCCACCCATACGTCAAAAGGATAGAACCAGTTCGGCAGAGACCCAGTTATCCAGCCGGTCCAGGCTAAGACCGACGCACCCAACGCAGAACACACAAATGTCCACAATTTGTGCGGGCGGCCAAAGCCTGCAGAGCAAGTATGGCGGCCGGGCTCCTCCCCACGTCCACCTCCCTGACCGACAATGGCCATCCAAGAAGTTGACCAAGTCCCCCATTTGGCTGTCGACAGATCTTCGGGATGGCAATCAAGCTCTTCCCAACCCCATGGTGCGCACGAACCCAAGATTCCCCGTCCAAGGGAGAGCTCTCAGGAAGCGCACGAAAGCTAATCCGCCATGCCATGGCCATGCATGTAGACAATCCAGCAGAAATGGCAGATGTTCCGCCTGCTGGTGGCCATTGGGTTCAAGGAAATTGAGGTGTCCTTCCCCTGTGCCTCAGACACCGATTTCAACTTCACGCGCGAGCTCGTGGAGACCCCCGGGGCGGTGCCGCCAGACGTCAGTCTGGAAGTGATGACTCCCTGCCGGAAGGAGACACTCAAGCGCGCGGTCGACAGCCTCAAAGGGGCCAAGAAGGCGATCCTCTTCACCTACCTGGCAACCAGTGACAACTACTGCGAGACCATCCTGCAGCAGCCGGCGGAGACGGAGTGGTTGGCGCGGGTGACGGAGTGTATCGAGTACGCGCGCTCGATCACGAAAGACGACGCGGAGGCGCAGGACACGCAGTGGACACTGGGATTCGGCTTCGAGGACTTCGCGAATGCACGCCCCGAGGCCGCCCTGCGTCTGGCGGCGACGATCCAGGCAGCGTGGCAACCCACCCGCGACCAGCCCGTCATCTTAGGGCTTGCTTCCAGCGTCGAGGCCACCACCGTCAACGTCTTCGCGGACCAGGTCGAATATTTCGCACGCCACCTCCAGGACCGCGACACGGTCTGCATCTCGATCCACACGCACAACGACCGCGGGGGCGCCGTCGCCGCCGCCGAGCTCGCGTGTTTGGCGGGCGGGGATCGCGTCGAAGGCTGTCTCTTCGGCAATGGCGAGCGGGCCGGCAACCTCGATCTCGTGACGGCCGCCATGAACTACTTCACACAGGGGATTGAAACGGGCCTGAACCTTTCGGACTTGCCGGCCATCCGGCGCGTGTACGAGGAGGTCACTCAGCTGCCCGTCCACCCGCGGACCCCGTACTCCGGCGACTACTACTTCCGTGCCTTCTCCGGGGCCCATCAGGATGCCATCCGCAAGGGTTTGAACCGGCGCGCCGCCAATCCGTCGCGGAGTGCGTGGCGGGTGCCGTACTTGCCCCTCGACCCGGCCGATCTGGGTATCTCCTTCGACAGCGTGATCGGCGTGAACAGCCAGAGCGGCAAAGGGGGCGTGGCCTGGCTCATCCAGCAGGGTCTCGGCTTGATCCTGCCCGGTGAGTTGGCGGCCCATTTCAGTCGTATCGTCAAGGCACAATCGGTGGCGTGGGAGCGAGGTCTGGCTGCCGAGGAGGTCTGCGCGCTTTTTCTGGAGTCCTACGACCACGACGCCTCCTACCGTGCACGCATCCTCGGACGACAGCAACAGGGGTTCGGCGCACTGTTCCAGCAGCCTGCCAGCCCGCACGAGCTGGAGGATGTCACGGACGAGGCGAATCGCATAGCAACGCTCGTGTCGCAGACTCTGCAGCTCCCCTTCCGATGCCAAATGGCCGCCTTTCACTCCCTACCCGAGGAGCGGCAGCAGGATTTGGTGGTCACCTTTGCCCAATGCGTCATTGGGGATGGCCCCGAAGTTCTCTGGGGCATTTCAGTGGGTGCAGGTAAGGATGAGGCCACTTATGCGACACTGCTATCCATCATCCAGGTAAGAAGGCCCCGTCTAGTATCACTTCCGTAGGTCCGATCATGCTGATGCTTTGGTTGCATAGACACAATCTGTGCCCGTCACCGATCAGCCCTGGGCGAAGCAGGATATGAAGCACACGCTGGAATGCAATGAAATAATCTCTAACAAGGAATTTGCTCATAGTCGGTTCCAAGAAGCCATCATTGGTTGAAAGAGGAGGGGAGGGGGGATCCTGGTTTCTAGAGGCAAACCACATGTTTTCCGTGTTCATATTTCCAATCTCATTTGCTGAGTATTTTCGAATCTTCCGTGACCGCTAAGGATGTGCTGGAGATCTCTTGCCATCGAGCCACTGCCGAAAGAAAAGTGTAGAACCCTACATACGAGCTGGAATGGACAGGAAGATAAACAATATTTATTACAAAAAGGAAGTAGAGAAATTCACTGTCGCAACGCTACAATCATACTGTACTCATCCTAGCTATTCTGCTCCGGGGCTCCAACAAGACCTCAGCCATACGTGCGAACCAGCTTCTGCTGCATATATTCCAACGCAGTCAAATGATCATTGTACTCCGACTTGCAGCCGGGACGCACGAACGCGGGCAGCGTATCGACCAGCACCTCCCGATCCGGCTTCCCAAAGTAAGCCACCGAGTAGCGAGGGGCCAGCATCGCGCCGGAGTGCACATCGGTCCCCTCCGGCAGACAGACGCGGTGGTTGGCCGAGCGCAGCTGCTTGTTGGTCCAGCGCTGCAGACAGTCGCCGACATTGATGATCACCTCGTATACGTCCTCCGACTCAACGGGGATGAAGCTGCCCAGCCGGCGCTGATCCTCAACCTGCAGCCCGCCCACCGAGTCCTGCAGGAGCAGGGTCAGTGTCCCAAAGTCGGAATGCTCGCCGATGCGCTTGCCTGACCCCATCGACCGGGCCGGAATGGCCGGGTAGTGCAGCAGGCGCAGCTCGCTGGTGTTGCTCTGGTGTTTGGCGAGGAGATGGTCCGCTGGCAGCCGGAGCCCGGCAGTGATGGCGCGCAGGAGATGGCCGTGCAGTTCGTGGAATTCGTCGTAGATTCCCTCCATGAAAGGGCGGAAGCCCGGGAGATCGGTCTCGTCGACCCAGCGGTTGGGGAAGAGCTCGTCAGTGGCAGCGCCTTGGTCGAAGGATTCCTGCGAGATCGGCCGTTATCAATCTGACTTCTGGTCTGGATGTTGGCCAATGGATGATAGTCGTACATACCCGATATTCCTGGTAACTATCCGTCTGCTGCTGCCCTTGCTCGAACTTAGATATCTGCCACACGCTTTCTTGACCGATGGCACTCCAGCCTCGATGGGGATTCGGAGCAGCCGGGTGCGCTGCCTTTACTTTGATGTCGTCTGGGAGATCGAAGAAGCGTTTGTTCTGTGTGTCGTTGCTTCAATCAGCCCTCACGTCTCGCGTAGATGAGCTTGCCTCGAGGTCATATCGCATGACTTACGAATTCGAACAGCTGGTTGATCTTCTCCTTGGGAAGAGACGAGTGGCGAATCTTGGCAAATCCGTAGACACAGAGCGTTTCACACAGTTCATCACAGAATTGTTGCCGCTCTTGCGCACCGTCGCTGCGATAGCGGCGGAAATCCAATGATTTGATGGCCATAGCTGTTTAAGCTGATCTATGGGACCGTGTGCCGGGTCTTCACCCCAATATGATCAGGACAGGGTTCTGTGAGTACTGCAGATCTACAGACCTTGTAGCGGATGAGTCGCAGATCGCTATATATGCCTTTGCGGGGCCCCCAGCCTTTCGTCGCCCCCTGGCTTCGTCTGGTGGAGGTCAGACAGATCCTTAGGTCCAGTGGCCGCATCCCGGAAGTGCCTGGACCGTAACCTTTCCCATACAGCCACGGTTCATGAAGCCGGTAAGACCGAGTGAGTGCTCTGCACCTTCCAAGTGCCGCCCCCACACAGGATCCTGGATAAATTGCACTCCGATGCCGGCGCAGCTAGTAGCGCTGTTCCAGGATTAAAGGAGGCTCAGGGATAAGTCAGTCTGTAATAAATAGCCCTTTTTGTGCTCATACGTAACTATATAGTGTAAAGGCTCGGAATGCGGACCCTAAGGTTGCGTACAGATGTTGATATACTATAGGATCAAGCCCACCAGCGTGTGCAGGCATAATGAATGGTGTGGTAACCTCCTCTTCACAACATCATCCAAGAGAATCTCTTGCGGATATTCTCTATAGGGTTATGGCCTCAATCGAAATGATTTGAGACCACGGAGAGTCAGAGTAGCTCAGGCAACAAATCAAATATCGACACCCTAGTCATCTCTTCCAGAAATTCCGAGGGCTAGCCAGGTAGAGGGTGAGCCTCTCTCTACCTTCATAATCCCCGGGTCACGGAAAGAGCAGCGATCGAGTCGACATGTTATTTCCTAGATTTCAAGAAGCACCGTATATATAGCTCCAGATCAACCGGATCTAGTCGAACCAAGCATGATCGAATGCCAACAAACGGCACGTCTAACTTGATTCAGATCGCGACCTGTATTGCGAAAACATATCATGGATTCTCGTCATGGTCATCGAAAGGGAAATGATGAGCGATTGCTGATTTCTCCATCTCGGTGCTTGAATGTTCCATCAAACCATTCTTGATGCTCTGGATTACCGCCTTGCTCCGTTCAAACTCATCCTCGTCCGGAACCCAGCCCAGGGCATCGGTCCCGATGAGGTCCCTCATCTCTCCCAGCTCCTGCAGGAACTCCTGTTCCTGGCGATGGTCCTCCACGCATTTCTGTAGCTCTTCCCCCGAAAAGCGCACCGGACACTCCATCAAACCCGTCGGTGCCCCTTCATCCAGCGACATCGGCCATGTCCTGAGGACCTGCACCATCGCATACTTCAACGAGACGGAGTCTCCCTCCCAGGGAGCCTGTGCATGATGAAAAAGCTTCGCGCGGAGCATACAGCTGTCAGATCGGATGGCGTCAAAGTGGTCCGGCAAGGATTTCATGGTCAACGCCGCATAGTAAAAGTGCACAATCTGTCTCCGCATCGTTTCCCGAACCGTCGCCTGTTCTTCCTGGCTGAATTGATCAAAATCATCAGGCAGTTTGACCTCTGGCTTCGATAACGTCTCCGACACGGGATCGCCCCAATTTTGGAAATGGTTGGGGATGCCAGCGCACAGGCAGAGGGGCAGAATGACTGCATGCTGCCAGTCGATGATTCCGACCACCTCGTGGGAAGGATTCACCAGGATGTTGTTGGGCGAGAAGTCCGGATGCCGGAGGATCGGGCGAGACATGCGGTGGTCGGAGGGAACATCGAGACCAGGCGCTAGCTTCAAGTAATCGGCAAGGAGATGCTGGTACGGAATGGGTGAGAGGGATTGGTACTGGTGTACCTCACGCAGGTATCTTTCGACGTGTAGTCGTGGTTTGCCAAAGTTCACACAAAACTCCATCTCGCGCTTAGCAGGTGCTTCAAAGCATGAGGAGAACGTAGTCCCTGGCCCAGAGTCAGTGTTTCCCGGCACCAACAAAGATAGGGATACCCGGCCGGAGACTGACAGGGACCGCGGTCGACGTCCAGAGAAGCCCGTTCCTGATACCACCATTCATGTTGTGCGGTTGGACCCACGACAATGTCGTCCGAGACGGGGATAACGCGTCGGGAGCTTGCAAGATCACGGCGGTGATAGAGACTTCCGCTTGCTGGAAAACGGATGCTCATGAACCGTCTCTCCACATCCACAATCTGTCGCATAATTTTGACCCGAGTTTTGGTGTCCATGGAGAACCACTGGTTGCTCAGGGGTGTTCCTTCAAGTCTTTCCAAAAGAATGTACTCGGCTCCCACGGCGTTTGTCTGATCTGGGGAGTAGGCAAGGACTTTGGGGACCGGGACGCCATGAGCACGCAAAAGGGCGAGGGTGGCCGCTTCACTGGCCACTGCATAGTGCTTTGGAACGGTCGTCTTATACGGCAACCTTGCCAGGACTGCATATCCATCATCGAAGGTGATTTGTAAGACGCGGTTGAAGCCCCCCTCGGCCAATTTCGTGATCGAGGCCACGGCCTTCAGGTGGCGGCCGACAGAGTGGCAGGTAGCCCTTGCAAGGGCATCCACGTCGAATTGAACACGGCGTTCGGCGCGGCGGATCTCTTCGTTGAATCTGGTCGACCGCGAGCAAGTCAGTGTATTGTTAGTGTAAATGTCATTGGGCACGCTCAGCAGCTGATCCGGCCATGACTCACAAAAAGCGTCCCGACGTGTACTCAAATAGATCAAGGTCACTTCTCAACGAAGAGGACATCCTCTTGGGTGGTGACTTGAAGCATTGACTTAACCACCTCGAAAAGGGTCGCATTTTCGACCAGATGGCTGTCAGCCCAAGCTGCTCTTGTTCTTGATGGGTGACATGGTACGAGACGTCCGGAGGTTGACTGGACTCTCGGCTTCGAGGGGATCAGTTGTAGTGGACACGCATGTGCGAGTATGTATGTAAGTAAAGATGATGTTGAATGATGAAGGGGGTTTCCAGGAAGTCAGGCGGTCTGTATGGCGGAGCCATACGAGCGGCAGAACGTCGCGCCTAAGACACGTGACTTTCAACATTGTATAGAAGGAGAGGACCCTAGGGCCTCATATCACAAAATACCGTGATACCTCTACACTCATCGCATCGCAGTCAGCCTCCTGACATCGCTTGCTTCTCACCAGTCAAACGAGCCTACGGGGGCATGGCAGAGCGGTTAATGGGTGCACACTCACCCCGGAGAGGATCTATCCTGAATCCAGCAGATCGGCGGAGCGGAGTGTTGACCACGCCGACAATGTATCATAAGATAGTTATTTTATCATTGCTGAATCAATACAAGCCCCAATATGCGAAACAAACGATCCAACCTAGCAACCCAGACTCCACAGCATTTCCTTCTTCTACAACCGACTAGGAACCAGATACGGAACTCCCTTCGCCTCGTAGAGATCGCGATGGTCGGCTTTGATAAGATCGGCGCCCTGCAAGCACATTGAACATGAGTATCGACTGTTACCACATCAAGGGGCGTGCTCACCTTCTCGCCAATCATGTACACCGAGTTCTGAATCCGACAGTCCGGAATCACGGGGATGACGGACGCATCCGCCACTCGCAGGTTGCGGATCCCGTGGACCCGGAGTCTGGAATCCACCACGCCCTGGTGGATGCTCTTGGACAGCCGAGCGGTGCCGCAGGGGTCTGTCCCGTTGAGAACTGGTTAGTGACATCATGTTCAAACCCTACTGCGCTGAACAAAAGGGGGGGACGACTTACGGAACCCAGTCTGACTCCTCTCCAGAACAGCCTTATTCATCGCCTCATCCGAATGCAACGGCATCTCCCAGGGGTACTCACCCACCACGAGGTCCTTGAACCCCTCACCCTGCTTCAGAACATCGTACGTCCAGCGCACACCCTCCCGCATCGCGAGAACATCCAGATCGTCGGCGAAGAAGTTTAGATTGATGTTGGGCTGCACGAGGGGGTCCGCGGAGTTGAGCGTGACCTCACCGCCCTCGGACACGGGCCGCAGCAGATCCACGATGACGGTCATGTAGCTCCCCTGCTTGGGGACGGGGTAGTGCCACTGGAAGGCGGAGCTGAACATGCCCACGAAGTCGAGCTCGAAGTGCGGCTGCCCCGCCGGGCCGAAGGGGTCGCGGCCACCATTGGCGGCTTTCGCGGCACGGTAGGCGGGGTACTGGTTCAGCCGGGCGTCGATGCGCGGGAAGCCGACCATCTCCAGCAGACCCGAGCTGACGGGCCCGGTGCGATCGCGGCGGTAGGCCGACACGGCGGCGTCGTGGGCGGGGCCGGGCCGGAGCAGGTGGTCGTCCAGCGTGAGGCCGTCCTTCAGCTTGAGGACGAAGGGGACGATCGGGTGGTCCAGCAGGTGCCGGCCGACGTGCGGGGAGTCAAGGATCACATCGATGTTGTGTTTGGCGAGTTCCGACTGGGGGCCAACGCCGCTGAGCATCAGCAGTTTCGGGGTTTCGAACACCCCCTGCGACAGGATGACCTCACGGGTCGCGTGGAGGCGGAGGGTGGTGTTGGTAGATGGGAGGACGACCTCGACGCCGGAGCAGACGCGGGTGGACGGGTCGATGAGCAACCGCTTGGAGTGCGCGCCGGACAAGATCGTCACGTTAGGCCGATTGAGCAGATACACAAAGCTACCCTGGCGCTGACCCTTGTAGATCGAGTCAACACAATGGGTGAGTCCGTGCATCTCGCCGGAGTAGATGTCCTCAGTCAGTGGTTCGCCCTTGGACACCCAGGCCTGGCTAAGGGCGTCGCGGAAGGGCTGCAGCTCAGGCACTAATTCGGCGTGGGAGATCTGCAGGGGCCCACCGGAACCGATCTGGTGCAGCTCAGTCGGGTACAGTTTCTCGTCGTCGTGGTAGGTGGCGCATTTGCGCAAATACTGGACGCAGTTCGCCCAGGTCCAGTCGCGGCCGCCGAAGGGCTCCCAGTCGTCGAAGGTGGCAGCCGACCCGGGGATCCAGGTGAAGTAGTTGGCGCATGAACTGCCACCCAGCGCCTTGCCGCGCGTGTTGGGCTTCTCCACACGCTCGTAATCCTCACGCTTGATCATGGTGGTTTTGTATGCCCAGTCGTACTGGCTGCCCCGCAGCCCGAAGGCTTTAGAAGGCGTGGTGATGTCTTCGATCTCGTGCGAGTTGGCGACGCCCGCCTCAACTACGAGGACCTTGACATCGGGGTTCTCGGCCAGTCGGCCCGCAATGCAGTTGCCTGCCGTCCCACCACCCACGACGATAAAGTCGAACTGGGAGTTGTTGGGAACTGACATGGTGAGGGTCTGAGATATGGATGAATAAGACTGAAGATGAGAAGTGATGCTTGTGATGCTGCTGCTGCTGCTGCTGATGATGATGATGATAGGAATGATACGAACTGAGCGTTGCCATCACGGCCTTATATCCTAATTCTTCATGGCGGAGACGATGAGCCCGTTGCCTTGAACAAAGAGTGTAGTGTCTCGTATAGAGCTGCAGTGAGGCCCGAGTTTGGTCCGCGGATTGTGCCGACATATCCGCGATGATCCGGGCTGATGCATAACAGACAGGGGATTGACGTATGAGGGGTAAACGAGGGATTTATGAGGCTTTCGAGTATGCGGGTACAGAGTTGGAGACGAGGAAGCATGGTGTTGATTATCTTGTTCTCCTCGTATCCGCAAAAACAAGCCCGAGCTCGGCGAGACCGGCCAGAAATCGGAGTCTTTCGGCATGCAATCATGTGACCTCACGTGTAGCTTGGGTTGCTCCGAACTTTGACCGAGAGACCAATCAAAGGGCGCTGATTGTGCTGACGGGGCGCCCCCTCATGAGGGGCAGGCACCGTGAGGGGAAAGCCCTAGAGAGCAAAGATGTTACTAAGTCAATGGCCATTTCCCCTCACAGGCCCTCACAGACCCTCAGCATTTCCTGGCTAAAACGTCAACATCCCCAACTCGCCATCCACTTTTGGCACTAGGTCAAACCGTGCCTCCGAGAAAATTTCGATCCCGAGATAAAGGCTTCACCGCTGCTATCTTCCTATCTGGCCGTTAGTTAGTCGAGAGATAAGCCTACCTGGCCGTAGTCGTATATAACTCCCACATCTCGCGATCGCCCCCCCGCGATCCATAATTCCCCCCTCCCCCCCCCTTTTCTCAAACTCAATCAATCCTCACCCACACCTACTCCACGTCATGTCCAAGCCGACTTTCACTCTCGCTGAGGGTATGTCTAGACCCTTTCCGATATTCCAATGTTCCAATGGCCATTGGTGATCAATTCTCTGACCCATCCATCCAGGCCAACCTGTCATTGACCCTGCGGTCAGCACCACCCTGCCCACCTTCGGTGGCGGTGGCCTGACCACCCTGGGAGACACCCTGCTGATCGAGACCCTGACACATTTCAACCGGGAGAGAATTCCGGAGCGGTAGGGATCCGTACCCCTGCACTGCCGATCCCCGATCTGCATGCAGCTGATGTGCATGGAACGAGAACTAATCAGCTCGTAGAGTCGTCCACGCCAAGGGTTCCGGCGCCTGGGGTGAATTCCGCGTCACCAAGGACATCTCTCACCTCACCAAGGCCAAGTTCCTGACGGGCGTGGGCAAGAAGACCAAGGTGCTGTTCCGCCACAGCACCACGGGCGGTGGTCTGGGCAGTGCCGACACCGCGCTCGACATCCACGGATTCGCCGTCAAGTTCTTCACCGAGGAGGGTAACCATGACATTGTTGGCAACCACGCTGTAAGCCCGTCTGCGCCTGCATCGCACCGAGTTCCGCTGAGCTGACCCAACCATCGACAGCCCGTTTTCTGGGTGCGCGATCCCATCCGCTTCCCCGCGGTGAACCGCAGCCACAAGAAGCACCCCGCCACCAACCGCGGTGACCCCAACATGGTAAGCAGCCAGTCCATCCGAGCCAACATGTCGGCCAAGCAGCGCACTGACCCACGCCACAACTCTAGTTCTGGGACTTCCATGTCAACCAGCCCGAGAGTGTGCACGCTTTGATGCACCTGTTCGGCTCGCGCGGCCACCCCGAGTCGGCGCGCAAGATGACCGGGTTCGGCATCCACACCTTCAAGCTGGTGTCCGAGGACGGCAGCTTCCGCTACTGCAAGTTCCACTTCAAGCCCGTGCAGGGCATCAGCAACATCAGCTCCGACATGGCCACGCGGTTGGCGGGCACCAACCCGGACTCGTACAACCAGGATCTGTGGGAGGCGATCGCGCGCGGCGAGTACCCGGTGTGGAAGCTGTACGTGCAGGTGATGGAGCCCGAGCGCGCCGAGACGTTCGGTCGGGCGCTGTTCGACATCACCAAGGTGTGGCCGCACAAGGACTTCCCCTTGATCGAGGTCGGCGAGATGACTCTCAACCGGAATGTGCGTTGCCCCTTTTGTCTGCTCCAGTGTTTCCGAATTACAGCTGACCATTCGTGCACAGCCCGAGAACTTCTTCGCCGAGATCGAACAGGCGGCCTTCTCTCCCTCCAACCTGGTCCCCGGCGTGGCTGCCACTCCTGACCCGAGTATGTTCCCTCCCACTCCATAGACCAAGTCAGCGCAACCTCTAACACGAAGTCTGTGTAGTGCTCCAAGCCCGCATGTTCGCCTACCCCGACGCCCAGCGCTACCGCCTGGGTGTCAACTACCCGCAGCTCCCGCCCAACAAGCCCGTGTGCCCCGTGTATGCCCCCTACCTGCGTGACGGCGCCCACACCACGACGCACAACTACGGCGGCGACCCCAACTACGTGCGCAGCACGCTCACCCCGGGTGTGAGCAGCCCGTCGGCGCAGGAGGTGCGCCACCACGAGTTCCTGCGGATGGGCGGGGTGCTCGGGCTGAACGAGATCCCCGTGGACGATGAGGACTTCGTGCAGCCGCGCGCGCTGTGGCACAATGTGTTCGACGAGCAGGAGCGCCGGCTGTTCGTGACGAACCTCTGCAACTCGCTGGAGGGCGTGGTGCCGGAGCTGCAGCAGGCGACGGTGGCCATGTTCAGCCGGGTGGATCCCCGGATCGGACAGATGATGGAGGCGAATCTCAAGGGGGGTGCGCGGTTGTAGTGCGTCGGTGGTGGGAGTGGAGAGAGGAGTTTGTTTTCAAGCGATGCATCCTTGTCTGTGGATTTTCGGGGTTGCGTCTGGAGTAGATGTGCCTCGAGTTAGATGCGGTCTTAGATATAGACTAGACATAGATGGTCATAGACAGTCATAGACAGTCATAGACAAATAGAGTCATAGACATACCGGATATCTGTGATGCGGATGGAGTGTGTCTGTTGTGATCAGGTAGAGGTGGAGAGAGAAGGTCGCGTCGAGGGGAACCGATAAGCCCAGAGGACGTTATCGGGATGTATCACGTGTCATACGCCTCAGGCACCCCGGGGCCGGATCACGGCTGGCAGCCTCAGGCAGCAGTGCAGAATAGCACTATGAGATCATCCCTGTGACGTCATCCCGACTCCGCCCGTGTCATCGCATCGCATCGCATCGCATCGCATATAACCCAGAACCAACCTCCATCTCTCACCTTCACAACCCTCAAAACCACTCAATTGCATATCCACCACACAAGACAGCAGAATGCTCGACTCCATCCCCCTCACCCGCAGCCGCCGCAGCGACGAACTGACCCGCCTGGCGGACCAGCACCTGCAACACGACCTGACGGCCTCCGACCGCGACGCGCTGCAGTCCGCCGCCCGCACCGTCTCCCTCTGGACAACCGTTGGGTCGGCTGTGGGCGTGGGATTGGGATTATACACGGCCTTCCGACTCCGGAGCTCGCGTCGCGCCTTCTTCGAGGTCTTTCGCGCGCAGCAGAAGCCGACGCAGGTGGTGTTTGCGGATGGGCGGACTGGTACTGTGGCTCCCCATTCATGGCTACAACATGACAAGGTCCAAGCTCGTGGCTGACTCTGTTGATGCGATGCTAGAATCCATCCCCGATATCACTCCGCTGCTTAAACCCACCACGTTCGGCGACTTTGCCACGTATTTCTTTGCCTCGGCCGGCGGGTTGTTTCTGGGCGGGGAGTTGGGTATGTGTCCTCGGCTTGTCACAACTTCAGTTCGAGAAGGATTGACGAAATGATAGGCTTCCTGGGCGGTGCCGCCGTCGGCAGTCGGGGGATCACCAACGAGCCCGAGCGACGGAAGCGCATCGAGAATGCCTTCCGGCGGTTCCGGGCGGATGTGCTGCGGCGCGAGGCGGATGCGTTGGACGGCGATCGGAACATTATTGAGAAGATGTTCTAATTGTTGGAAGCGTTGGAAGGGGGTTTTTGGTTCTTTTCCCGGGCATTCGAAGGAGGTGTTGTTTTCTCTTTCTGGGCATTGAATGGGGCGGTGATAGTATGTGTGCGCAGGCACCTCGATACCCGGTGTGTATTTAGCAAATATGATGAGATATGATGAACTTTGTGTGTCTCATGCAGTGTAGCTGTAGTTCAAATGTTATACACCGCGGACGGATGAGATATAGTGCACGCAGAGATACATGTACAGGGTCCCAACCCCAGAGACGACTGTACCGCACCCCCCCTCCGCCCTAATATATACAATGCAACCCTAACGCCAACAACGACCCAAACGCCAGCCCATCCCATAAGAAACATCAGCACCTCCCAATCCACCGCCACACAGCCCGACACCCCGTCTTCCACGTCCCCGAGAAATAATGCTTGACCAGCACCGCCGACGAGCGATGGTCCTCGCCCTGCGTGATCGCGAACCCGCGCTTGGGCAACACCACCACATCCTTGATGCGCACCGTCTCCTGCAAATCCCTAAGGGTCTGCAACATGCCCTCAGCGGCCTCGAAATACTCGAGCACCGCATCCGTCCAGACACTCGGGCCCGTCCACTGCATCACATCCGGCGGCTCCACCCCATCATTACCACCATCCACCTCCCCCAGCCGCTGGAGATACTCCTCCGTCCGCTCGACAATCTTCCCCAAGACAGCCCCAAAAATCGGATGCCCCGGCGCCGCGACCATCGTCCACTGCACGAACTGCGGCGACCGCGGCAGACCCCGCGTGGAGGCGTCGCCTTCCAGCCCGATGATGGCGGCGGGGGGACCATCCCTAGCACTCCCGGGGGCATCGCCAGGATCATCCCCGGGGACATAAGGCGGAGCCCCAAACATCACCCCCCACGGCAAGGGCTGCAGCAGCCGCACGTCCAGATCATTGTACACCCCGCCCCGCGCGTACAGGATCAGATAGCGACAGAAGTCCGATTTCAGGACGGCGGAGGGGAAGGCGGCCAGCACTGCGGCGTAGCGGCCGGACGGGTCGGTGGCATGCGCGAGCTGTGCGCAGGCCGCCTCGGTCCAGTACTCGATCTTCCAGCCGGACTGCTGCCAGGAGATGGTGTGCTGGGAGGGCCGGAAGGCAGAGACGGGGTGGTTGGGCATGGAGAGGAGGAGGTGGTGGATTGTTGGGGGGATGAGGAGGTCGGTTGCTGCTGCGGCGGTGGAGGGGACGGGCTGGTTGGTGTTTGGATCGGGGGGTGGCTGTTTCTGTGGGTGTTGATGTGCTGCGTTTAGTGGTGGTGGTGGTGGTGATGGCTGGGTTGGTGTTGTATATTGAAGCAGCGAGAGGACGAGACACAGCGCCAGGATGGCCTGGACCAGCTGCAGTGGTCGGAGGGGCATTGCTATTGATTTCGTCGCCCTCGGTTCCAATCAGGTATTGTTGGTGCTCAGTTGCAGTCGCCTCCCCTTTTTGATGGCCGACAATAATAGTGATCCATCCCGCGGTGTTGGTTTCGGTTTCGTTTCCACCCAGCAACGTTGACCCTAAACACTGCGCAACACAGCACAGCACAGCATGCACGCACGTACCTTCCTCCGCACATCCAGCAGCGCAGCATCCCACTTAAGTACCCCGTACGTACTCCCGAACCAGGACTGGTTCATTTTTTAGCTGCCAAGTGCCAACAGCCTCCGCCCCACTCCCAAAATGACTAACGGCTAGGCGATGACGCCGATAGGGCTGGGCAGCTGGGCGCTTGTCTTGGAGGACTCTCGGCATTCCCTATGTTTGATCGATCGTCTGTCGATGGACAGGGGGTGAGAAGGGAGGTAGGTTACATCGTGTGCTTACTCCCCTGTTTCCCTGACACTAAACACAGTGGTTCTCAGAGTAGAACAAAGAGCACTGCGCTAGAACCCTCCCCAAAAGAATCAACCCGGAGATCAGGAAGAGGCGTTCGTGAACCACCTCGCAAACCGACCAGGCTAAGCCACACTCGTCCTTAGTCGGTTGAGGGAAAAAGCCTGCAAGAACCCCGACTGGTAGCCATGAGCCCGCTTGGCGCTGGGGATGCATCCGATTATTCGTTAACACACGGTAAAAGTGGGTCGGGGTGATCAGGCAGAAGAATTTGGGAGGAATTTGCCCTAGAGAGATTAAGGTACCCGAGGCCGGGAGGGGCCGTGCGTGAAGTTAGGTGGTGATCCACGTGTATGCCGGGGACTGGACTGGAGGGGTTGGTTGGAGGGTTGGATGTCATTGTAGTCGTACTTTGAGGACTAAGTAGTAGTCAATGGCCAATCTATGTGGAATGTGGGCTAGAAACCACGCAGTGTGTGTTATCCTGCTCGAATGGATCTGAAGCGGTACACAGCCACTGCTCGAAGTGGGAAAGTAGTCGCGTGATCATCGAGAGCATGCCTTGTAGACTCAGTCAATATCATGGTGAGACCTGCGCAACAGCATAGGGGGCTAGATTCTCGATTTGCATATGGTAGCCCTCCAAAGGCGGACAATCCATCCTATTCTCCGACAAGAATAGCACATTCACAAGGTCACCAAATGCAGGTCAAGATAAGCTATCTGCTCCTAGCCCGATCTGGTCACACAACAGAATAAGGTCGTCGCACAAGAACCACTGCATCAAAGTTAGTGTCCTTAGTGTGCTGTACTACTTATACTTCTACTCGATCCCTGATCTGGACAGCCCGCTGCCTCCGCAGTTCACTAACCCAGCCCCGACATCTACCCCTGAGGCTAATCGACCACACATAAACCCTATCTCCACTACACAACCTTCTCCAGGTGAAACTACCCGGGACACTACCAAACGAACATCCGTAATACTCCAGGAACTCATCAACTGACTGCATGAACGATAATTCACAATAATGCCTGCTAGAAACAAGTCGTAGAACCAACCCCAACACCGCAAAAAGCCCAGACAGCCCAGCTTAATCCGGGACCAGCTATGTATGTATATGTATAAAGATGCAATGCACGTATGTATAGATAAAAGGAAAGCTCGGTCGCTGCCGGCGGGTGCTTCCGCTCGCGAGCCACGTCTCGGGTCAAGTGATCACGATTGAGCGTTGTTGGCACAAGTCCAGCTGGCCGAGGAGGTGCTGTCGTGGATGGATTTGCCAGACACATAAAGTCCGAGACCGCACTGCGAGATTATCAGTAAGATGTTCTCAACCAACTATGTAGAGGACAGAGGACTCACAATCGCGCACGCAATACCGAGGATGATTAGGTTGACGATTGTCAGGAAGATCTTCTGGGGAGTGGCGGTGTATTGGCCCTTGTTCATGATCATCCACATGAGAGCGGGGATACCGTCTAGAGCACTGTTAGCATCGCATCAAAAAGTGGAAATCAGGGCGAGACCTACAACTGAACCAACTGCCGAAGAGCGAGCACTAAAGAATCAACGGGATTAGTACGCGAACCGCACACCAGGGAACCACCACACGTACAATCAGACTCAACAGGTCGTTGAAGACGGGGATGGACTCGGCAATCACCCAGGCGATCACCCACACAGCCAAAGCGATACCAATCCACGATCCGACCACGACGGGGCTGTTCGTGTGCATCTGGGGAGATCCACGCCACACACGCACGAAGATGTACTTGCAGGCGACGTGGCCGAAGATGACACCGGCGATGATGACCTAACGATTGAATCAGCACGGCGGCCCTAACAATCAGTCCCATAAACTGGACATACCGTAGGGATGGCGAGACCGTAGGCGACCTTGCTCATGAGCGGGCCGGCGGAAGAAAGGGCCGGAGACTTGACGTCCGGTCCGGCGTAGCGGTAGATGACCATCGCGGTGATGATGTACATGGTCGTGTCGAGCACCTGCAGCATGGCCAGGGACTTGGGGAAGTCGCGGACATCCTCCATCTCGGACATGATGCCGAAGAACGCCACATGGGCGACTATGAAGTGGTCAGCACCCATCCCCAGTGAAATCCACAGAACCCGGGACGAGGCTTACTGAAAGCAAAGATGATGTTGGTGACGGCCAAGAAAGCGTTGACGAAGCTCGGGTGGGTGGTCACGTCGTTCTGGACGTGCGCCGGGGCTTCAACTCCAAGCGCAATCATGGTGACGACGGTGGCGACGATGATACTCAGGCAGGCTGTCGTAACCGGTCAATAACATGCACCTGCGGAACAGGCATGCGGGGACTCCTTACAAACGATGGACATGTAGTACACCTTGCCCATGGTGCGAGGAAGCGCGAAGATACAACTGATGACGAGACCGACCACTCCGAAGACGATGGTGCAGGTGCCGTGGCCGGTGATGGTGTTGAACAGCACCGTGAAGGTGAGCACGTGACTGGACATCAGGAAGATGCAGAACAGCAGCTGGCCGAAGAACATGATCTCGCGTCCGATGCGGCCCATGAGCAGCTCTCCGGCGTCCCCCATGCTGTGGACTTGGGGATAGCGCAGCTTGAACTGGCCCATGACATACCCGGTGTACCAGGAGATACCCGACATTCCCAGGATGATGAGAATGGAGCTGAGAAGGAGTAGTTAGTCTGACGGTGCTGCAAAACAGGTCGCTTTCTGGTTAGGGTTAGACACTTACGGGACGATACCCAAGGTGGCGACGGCCGAGGGCAGCGACAGAATACCCAGGGAGATGTTCTCGGCGATCATGACTGTGGAAGGGCATTGTTTAGATGAGATGACGGCTGCTGGCGGACGGCCACTGTGCCCTAAGACTAGTAGACTCACGCATGCCACAATTCCACCACTTCATCGTACGGAACTTGACTTCGGCCATCTCTTCGTTGCCGAACGGGTCATCGGCTGGGGGAGATTCATTGGGGGCGACCTTCTCGATCTTCTCGTCTTCGTCGTGATACTGCTGGTGGGCATCGAATGCCTCAACATCTCTACCGTGACTGGCCATAGTGACGGGGAGAGAGAGAAAAAGAAAAGTGCAAGAGTGGCGATGAGAGGAGAGGAGAGTGTCGTGAGTGGGAAGTCGTAAAGCGTAGGCAGTCAGTCAGAAAATAGCAAGAAAGATGATAGGGCGCAGCAACAACCAAGTCAACGGGCCAACTTTCAAGAAGAAGAAGAGGAGGAGAGAGAAGGAAGAGAAGGGGACTCAAAAAGGTGGAGGGAGGATATA